TTAAGTATTACTGTAATTTATACTTTATGGTGAGTTAGTCTTTTCTCTTGAACCTGAAATAGCGCAGAGGACAGAGGTTATAGCTCTCCTTGTCTGACGGCTCGTTGCCACCTGTTTTAGGTTTTAAATGTTCATTAGGCCCATGTTTAAGCCCTCCTTGATGTGGTTTCATGCAGGGTCTCTCAGTCTTCCCCCATTTTTTTCTCCCTTCCAGTGTCCATATGAGGGCTTGATGGGAGAGTCTTGTCTAATCCATTCTGAGTGCTTGGCTGATATAGTTCCAGTGGCGCTTTTTTATAAAATTGGAAACACTATCTTGCTTGATGAATAGCTTATGGTGAGTAGTCACACCTTATTAAGATACTTTGGGGTGAGTACCAGCACCTTTTCTTTTCTTTAAAAAAAGCCTTGTGTTGAGTCATAGTAGTTCAGTGGCTAGCACAGCATATGCTGGCCCAGTGGAGAAAGGGTCAAATGCTCATCAAGACAGACATGATTTTAAAACTGATCTGGTTCTTTAGTCAACTCAGCCTAAAAATGAGTACCATGAAATATTCTGGGCAAGATTGTTTTTTCCCTAGAAAAATAAAGGTTTCAGAACTGAGTACTACTGTATACCACCAGAAGAAAAGCCCTAATTTTGGAAGTAAAGGTAGCTGGTATGATGCCAGCCAGATCACCTATTTATTGTCAATGATCTACAAAAATATAGAGACTAGCATCATAAGGCCATTTGACTCAAGGTGTGGACATTGGTCCTTAGCTTTACTAAGTACACATATACAAGTATGTGAACATACGCATATTTATATATATATACACATATAAACATCCACAAAGTACATAATTTATCTGTTAAAACTTATTTACAAATATTACTGAAAACAAAATCAGTAAGATTCTGCCATTGTAAACTTGAGTGAAGCCTTACTTGACTTTTCTATGCACACCACTTCTGCAGCTTGAATTTGCATATCCTGGGTGAAGATCTATTAGAAACTGACCATTAAAGTTGACTGGATCTGTTACTACATTTCACAATTAGAAAGTCAGTATGCATGTATACATAGATATGGAATGTATGAATTAATTACCAGAAAACATGTCTTTAACAGCAGGACATATGACATGGTAAATTAGATGGCTACTTACTCTGCACAAAGTCTTATTTAAGAGCATTTCTTAACATTTTAAGTTCTAAAAGCTTTCATTGCATTTGTTAGCTTAAAACAGCCTATGTGAAAATGAGGAAAAATAATTTTAAAAAGAATAAATACATTTATGATACCAGAGTTTCTCAGTATGAATCATACTAAAGGTTAATACAAATAAAATAGCATGTTACCCTTGGGCTGGGAATCTGGGCTGAGCTAGTCATAGATCTCATGTTACTTAGGACTCGGAGAGTAAATTACACAAAAAAGCTTTTCTTTTTGATTCTGAATATTTCATGAAGATGACTGAAAATAGTAGATCTTACCATGAAAATATTACAAAGTGAATTGCACAATATATGCCATCCCCATAAATAGAAGTTTGCTATAGTGGATATGTGTATCCCCTGATGTTTTAGGGGAATGTCATAGAGTGAGGCCCCAATGTCTTACAAGGTGAACAGTTCTTGTACCACATCCACAAATCAAAGGATCAGTCTCTTTATGGTGGCAACTGAACCCTAGTATATTGAGGGCTGTGAAAAGTGTTTACTAACCTCTAAACCATAGAGCCACACAGACAAGAAATGCTAGGTATTTAAAAAAAAAAAAAAACATGCAAAACAAGAATTGTTGCCAGATGAGAACAATTTTTAAGTATAATTATATTGGGAATGATCATTTCCATAAAATAATTTTTGGTTATAAACAAAAAGGGAACTTTATTTACTGGTCCACTCCTTTCAGGAAGGCTTTAAGAAAAAAGAAGAAATGAAATTTGAGTTTATAGAACATACCAACCAACTTCCAGAAAAGAATATAAAACAGCATATTAATTTTGTTAACTATGGTTCTGATTCCGTTTCCTGTAAGTTTTCTTCTCTGTATACATCATTATACAATTTTTGGCCTGATTCATTTTGAAATGCTTCATTTTGAAAGATCATATTGATGCAAGTAACTTCTCATTAGACTTATTCTAAGGCATAAATGTTACAGGAAAACAGTTTCATCACAACAAGTGCCTTAAGCACAGTTCAATAAGTAAGTAACAAAGTCACCCTTAGAGTGCACAGACAACATACAAAAAGCCTTGCAATATAAAATACTATGTCAAAGCCCCATCACAATGATTAACGAATTTCGCTCCATGTCAAATGGAGGACAAAGTTAAAACAATTACAGTCATCATGACTTTTATATTTAAACCCCATATACATATTTTGGACACTTAATTTATCACCGAATATGTCCTACTCACATTAAAATAAGAAGAAGTTACAAAGAACATGTTTAAATGACTGTGCATTGCCCGTACATAGTCATAAATTGAAAAGAAATCATGCAGTTTGTTACTGTAAGCCCCATTTCAAGGGCAGCACAATTAAAAAAAAAAAAAAAAACAATTATCACCTAACATGGCCTATATAATTAAAATCATATACATCTTTAGGACATGCGGCTCGTAAAAGTCACATTCGAGTAGGAAGGAGATTACACAGAATGAGTGACAAGACAATTAGTAGCTACATTGTTGTTATTGTTGTTGTTATCGATCCAGCGGCGTATGGGCTTTCGCCCTCTGGCCCAATGCCGTGTAGTGGAATTGGCATGTTTTCATTAGCTGTTCTTTTCCTCTGTAATAGGTGTTCCCCTTGTCTGGTCTCGGAGGGAGTAGCATTCTTCTAGTCTCACTGAGTATTGGGCTACATAGTCATGCAACTAAATTAAACAATCTGATATTGTAAATTTTGCTCTAGGTAACTACAGTTTATTTTTTGGTTTATCTTTGTACTATTTTAGCTGCCAGAACTACATCCTTGTAGATAACAATAATGACAGCTTAATTCAGACATCTGTTACCTTGTAATTCCTGAAGTTTAGAAATTAAAATCCATACATTTAATTGTGTCACTGGTCATAAACCTTCACAATTCATATGGTAGATGCACACCTGCAACACATGAAATGTTGAGTCTTTTGCTTCCATGTGGCCCAATTTTGTTGTTGTTGTTGCTAAATTAAAAAAAAAATTTGAAAAATAAAATACACTGATCTGATTTTTTAAATTGCAAATGTTATTTTTGGCAGAGTTTGAAAACAGTTGTATGTAGCTTAGTTTTTACTTGTATTTTCTAATAATACATTGCATTTTTTTTTTCCATAACCACCTGCAGCTTTTAGTCTCCTGCCTGAGGTCACAGTGTTTCCTCATCAACTGTTTCAATCCTAGGCAGTTATTAATTTACATTGTGTTGTCTGAAACATTTTTTTTTAACTTGTTCTTTTGAAGTAGTTGTTATATCAACTTGCATGCATCTAAAAGAGTTTTTTTTTTTTTTTTTATCGGGTCTATTTAAGACATTTTCTAGTGTAATATTTTCTAAATCAAGTATTTGTTACTCTAACCTGTTCTATATAAAAATACATTTGTTACTCCATCTCATTCTATCTAAATCATAGTTTATTTCAACACGTTCTTTCCGGAACATTTATTATTCAAGATTCTTCTGTAGTAAATATTTATTAGCTTAAACTGATAAGTGTTGCATTAAAAGAACCTTATGTTTTCAACAGGTATTGATAGGTGATATTAACAACTGTCTGAAACATAAGGGTTTAAGAAATTACAGAAGATTAAGGGGCTACTAACAAATATACAGTGATAAGTATGGTAATTGACTGTTTATTACCTAAACTAGCAAGCAAAACAATACTAACATGTATATGCTTATAGTCAAATTTAGTTGCAGACACAGATATAGTTTTATATTTTGTCAACAACAGACAGAAAATGCACATGATAATTAACAACTGTAAGTTCCCAACAAAAGGCTAAAACACAGACAATTATCACAGATCATTCAAACAGTATGAAACACTTTGTAAAATGAATATTTCAAAATCATACAATAGTATTATAATTTAAAGAAAAAAATAGCTTGTCAATAAATTACTGAAAAAAAAATGTTAGCTGAACTTTTGTAGCCTTATTTTAGCTATGGTTACCAATGAACTGGACAGCTCTGGTAGATGCTTGCCTAGACGACTGCGGGCTAGAAGAATGTCTGCTGATCCAAGGTTGTGGGCTCTATTCCGAATGAATAAGGGTAGAGTTTCACAAGCTTTGATTATTTTCACAGCACTCTGGTTACGTCCATCAGTGCTCAGATATCCCCTTCAACAAAAACATCACAGTCCCAGTTGTTAATTGTGCCAGAAGTATGCTGGTTATCAAGACTTCTTGTAGATCCAGTGTGCCTCTCATGCTTAGCTGTTTTGATATTTACTAACAACATTCTTAGCAGTGATGCGGTCACCCTGCTCCCAAAACCTCTGTTGTCTTATCTTTTTAAGGTCCTCAACAATATCAGTGAGATCCATCTGCCGGCCATCTGCAATGAAGACAGAACGAGCCAGTCTATCAGCTGGCCTGGGACAAAGACGATGGTAACTACTCGCAAAGTGTTGTTTCACAGTGACTTAATCCACAGTCTGCTAATGGAGCTTGCCTCATGTGCATAGAAGTATACACACGTGGGAATTATCCTGTGATTCTCACTACATGAAACCTTGTGTCACCACCGTCACATCCACCGACATGCTGCTGGTAGTCATGGAAACAATTAAAAAAAAAGTTAACTTGAATTGTTCTGGAAAGTAAAGGTGGCTGACACTATGTTGACCACATTACATATTGAGGGCAGACTGTTCAATAAATATATGGTTTTAGCATCATATGCTTAATGTGCAATGGCACAAAAAAAGTTCTTGACTTCTTTACTTACTAACATGGCAGTATGAACAAGGAATTTGTTCTTTTTGCTGTATTTGAAAACTACAGTATTAACAACAAAATGGAAATTTGCAGCTTTTCTTCTCTTCATCTTTTGGTTGAATCTGTTGCCTTGTAAAGGTGAGGAAAATCTGTTCAAGTGTGGTCTGATGAACTGAATAGTCTTGAACATTGACCCGTTTCTTGGCCTCCTCCATTACGGAGAAGATGTCTGCAAGTCTGACTGTAGCATCTGGCACTTGAAAATGTATGTAGCCTTGGTGATCATCAAAAACCTGGCAATATGAAGTTGTAGTGTTTAGTGCATTCTTCATTTTAACTTCAGTTTAACTAGCTCTTTTGTTATTTATTTAAGACTGTTTGAAACCCCCCTCCCCATATCCTTAGTAACAAAAATGAAATAATTCAAGTTGTTTAACTGTTTCTGTTGTAGTCAGCAGTTACTTTAAATGCTCCATCACAAGAAACTGTTATACTCAAACTAATATAAGTCTGAGAAAATGAGGACGTCCAGGACCAACCACCATGCGAATGCTGATGAGAGAAGCCAAGGGTGCTGGATTGGATTCCATCCATGATATCAAAGTCACATCATAGCACAGGATAGAGAAAAATATGGAAGAACAAACTATGAGCCTTATGTCCAGCAGTTTGTGGAATCCATTCAGCTGAGTGTTGTTTCTGTAAGCGCTCAGTTGTGATGGTTCTTTCTTTTAGGTTTTTATTAGTAGGTTTAGATAATTGTGTAGCCAGTTCTACGGTATCGGGCTGGTTTGGGAAATAGCAGAAGAAAACATAGCTGGCAGCAAAGAAAACAGGAGAAGTCCCATTAGCTGCTTACTTCATTTAAGGATCCACATTCGCTATCTTAAAAATAATGAAAGAAAGTTAAACTGATGCTGAATCTCAAGTAGTAAGACAAACAGATACACTTTTTTAAGTTTACAATGTGATAACATAATTTGTAATAAGATATTTCGTTTCATCTTTCTTTTCATCTTTTCCTTCTTCTTCTATTCTTCTTCAGCATTTAGAGCCCTTGGGGTTCACTTAGGCAGAAATCACCTGCCATCCATTTCTCTTTGTAACTGACCTTTTCTTTCCATTTGGTGACTCCCAAGTAATTATAGGTCCTTAGGTATTTTCTCTCCCCACTGTCTTCTTGGTCTAACTTATGGTCTACTCCCATTCACCCCTTTTGTTTACAAAGTTTTTGTCTCTCTTTTATCTGCTATTCTCTCTGCATTCTCTTTCCCCACTGTCTTCTTGGTCTAACTTATGGGCTACACCCATTTACCCCTTTTGTGTACACAGTTTTGTCTCTCTTTTATCTGCTATTCTCTCTGCATTCTCTCTCCCCACTGTCTTCTTGGACTAACTTATTTTCTACTCACATTCACCCCTTTTGTGTACACAGTTTTGTCTCTCTTTTATCTGCCATTCTCTCTCCATCATGTAGCAGGTCCTTTGCAGAACATCGCTCTCATCACAGTCTGCCTGTAAGAAACTCGGTCTCTTGCCAGTTCTCCCGCCTCATGAACTTTCACACTCAAGGAGTCACTTATATCCTGTACCCATCTTCTTGTCGGTCGGCCCCTGCCTCTCCTTCCTGGTACGATGCCTTCTGCTATAATTTTTTCCAATCCGTCGTGGCGCTTGATATGACCAAAATATTTCAGCTTTCAAGAAAGGATGCTGTTTATTAGCCAATCTTGCCATTCTCTCTACATGCTTTAATAATTGCAGAGTATTGACTTCACGATGCCAGTAATGTGTGGTGATTTAGAGAGATTATGAATAAGATATTTGACAAGTTTAATTTCAAAACACATTTTAAAAATTGAATTGGTCTCTGGAAATGTGGCTATACAGAAGAATATGTTGTATTTCATGGAAACAAAAGCAGTTATAGATCATGCACACAGGTTCAAGAGAGACTATGAATGAAAAGAGAGCATCTGATATAAATGAAAAACAAAACAGTTGAAATATTTCCGCTAAATTAAAAGACACAGCACTCTTTTAAAAACTATGCTGGAGTGAAAAGTTGCAAGCAAGAGAGAAAACTTCTGATTAAACATTAAAATGAATCAAACAATTATTACAAATGAAATGAATGGCCAAAATAATGCTGAGCTATGAATGTCTTACTTTTGCACCGGGAAAATGTGAGGTGATGAAATCAACAACAGGCTCATTTGGAGCAGAGTTGCCATCTGGCAGCACCCCCAGCTGTGTAATGAGGGTGTAGCCCTGCCCAAATTTGTTCTTCAAGTGTTGTGGACTGCCCAGGCACACAAATCTTCCATTCACCATGATGGCAAGTCTAGTACACAGAGCATCACATTCCTCCATGCTGAAAATTTTAAACAGTGAAAGTGTAAACCGTTAGAAATGCCAGTAAATAAATTACATGCACATACACAAGCATGCATGAAGATCCATAAAATAGTTGCATATCTTTTACAGGACACTGAAGAACCAATCATAGCATTTTTTGGCTATTGTGGTTCTTCAAGGAAATTTTACGTTCAGTAGTTTGTCACTCTTTATAATGCCGGGATTGATCCCAGCAGCGGGCCATGAGCCTTGCGTTGGTTTCGTAGTGGTATCAAGAAAACCGACCGTCTAGAAAGCAGTGGCAAACTACTGGATGTAAATTTGCCTAGAAAAACCACACAACAGCCAGGGGCTGCTGAGGTTGGTTCGGCAACATCCTATAAAGGATCCGCAACTTACCTAGTTTGTCACTGCTCCTGAATGGTCAGCTCTCAGTATCACTGTCAAAACCAAAGCAAGACAAATTGTCCACAGCTGAGATCAAACCCGGCTTTCCAGCATTACAAAGCATATATATAAGCAAATTTACATATCAACCATAGATCATGCACACTTGCATGTATGCAAATTCACTAAATGCACTAACATATGCATTAAGCTCACATAAACATATATTTATATGCACGAACTGCATACACATTTCTAATAATATTTCAGTAGGTGCAAAAATCTTTAAAACTGTTAATTATCTTACAAGTTCTATAAATCTTGATATGCCGAAGGAAAATTAACATTTCTGGAACAAAATGAAAAAAGTCTATAAGTCCTTAAAATTTAATAAAATAAATATGTATAATTTTGGCTACATGAAAAGACAGGACATCTATAAAACATCATTACTTTCATCAAGTTCCTTGGTGACCGGAATGGATGATATATTTTGTAAACATCTTGTGATCTCTAACATCATGTATTAGTTTATGAGCTCATTCCTTTCTATTTCATGACATAGAACTGTGAAGAATCTTCTCTTCTCTCATTTGTCTTTCTCTTTCTCTACTGGCAGAGATCTGTGCAGCTGTCACAACATGTTCTAATTATCTTTTCATAATATACCTTAAATATGACTAACCCCTCTTTACTTGAAAAAAAAAAAAAAGTAGGAGATAGCAGAGTAAGAAGAAGAAAATGAACACAAGTAGAAAGAATCAAAGAAAAGATTAAGAGCTTTTATCAGAAAGTCAACACTACAACAAACATTCATTCACTTCAACCAACTTTAATTATGGACATGCAAGCGATTAATTAAAATTGAAACAAGTGTCTGTCTTAAAGTAGCTACACACACATGAGATTAGACTACACAATGAAGGCCAAAGTCAAATATCTTACCTATGAGATGTCAGAACCATTGTGCGACCTGATGCTCGGACTTGTGACAGTACATTCCAGAGCTGTCTCCTTGCTTTAGGATCCATTCCTGAAGATGGTTCATCCAGCATGATGAAAGGGGGATCACCCACCAAGGCTATGGCTGTGCTCAGCTTTCTTTTATTCCCTCCACTGAAAACAAGCATTTATTTATCATTTATTACTCAAACACACTCTTAGAAATGAATGTGTATTTAATGTCTTCATTTAAACAATAAAGTAGAGAAAACATTTCGTAATGCCGGGATGCCAGGTTCGATCCCAGCTGCGGGCAATGCGCCTTGCATTGGTTTCAACAGTGGTATCAAGAAAGCCGACCCTCAAGAAAGCAATGGCAAACTACTGGATGTAAATTGCCTAGAAAAACCACACAACAGCCAGGGGCTGTTAGGGTTGGTTCTGCAATGTCCTGTAAAGGATACGCAATTTAAAAAAAGAGAGAAAACATAAATACATGTTTCAGGGCTATTTAACTGGTGGCCCATAGGCCAAACCTGAAGGCCTAACTCGTCTGCAGATCACCTGCCAGTTTTATTGTTTTAATGCTCTTTCTATGTTAGGACTGGGCATCTGGCCCGTGACAACTGCTACATTTCAAATGTTGGCCCCTTGAGTAAACTTAGCTGAATATATATATATATGTATGTATGTATGTATGTCAGGGCTATTCAACTGAGTTTACTCAAGGGGAAAAAATTTTAAATGTAGCGGTTATATATGTATATATATATATATATATATATATATATATATATATATATATATATATATATATATATATATATATATGTATATTTTTCAGGGCTATTCAACTAAGTTTACTCAGGGGCCAATATATATATGTATATATGTATGTCAGGGCTGTTCAACTAAGTTTACTCAGGGGCCAATATATATATGTATGTCAGGGCTGTTCAACTAAGTTTACTCAGGGGCCAATATATATATGTATGTCATGGCTGTTCAACTAAGTTTACTCAGGGGCCAATATATATATGTATGTCAGGGCTGTTCAACTAAGTTTACTCAGGGGCCAATATATCTATGTATGTCAGGGCTGTTCAACTAAGTTTACTCAGGGGCCAATATATATATGTGTGTCAGGGCTGTTCAACTAAGTTTACTCAGGGGCCAATATATCTATGTATGTCAGGGCTGTTCAACTAAGTTTACTCAGGGGCCAATATATATATGTGTGTCAGGGCTGTTCAACTAAGTTTACTCAGGGGCCAATATATATATATATATGTATGTATGTCAGGACTGTTCAACTAAGTTTACTCAGGGGCCAATATATATATGTATATAAGTATGTCAGGGCTGTTCAACTAAGTTTACTCAGGGGCCAATATATATATGTATGTCAGGGCTGTTCAACTAAGTTTACTCAGGGGCCAATATATATATATATATATATATATATATATATATATATATATATATATATATGTATGTGTTGTGTGTGGGTGTGTGTGTGTGCGCACATGTCTGGATGCCTGTGTGTGTCTGTATGTTTTAAACATATAGTAATATAATATCTTTTTAAATATTTAAAACAAAAAAGACAACTTGTGAGATGAGGGTACAAGATTGAATGAAGAATTATTCCATCCCGACATGGGACTTGGGCTACCTGTAACTGCTGGAGTGCCTAAAATAACACACATTTGAACAGGATATCTGGGGTTTACACCTGTCTCATTCTTCTCCTTGAGGTGTTAATCCTACTGACTCCAGGCCTAGAGAGGACTAAGACTACCATCAATGTACAAGGAGGAGATCAAGCAATAAAATCATTTTACTTGCAAAGTTAATTATTTATCATTCATGATTTGATTTTATTGGAAAGATGAACAGTTCTACTTCCTTTTTAGATAGATGTGTTTACTGGTACCATAAAGAAGCAGCTTATATTCTTAAGGTATCAAAAAAATGTTGTTAAATACAATCCATGTAAAATCTTGTTTAGGTAGAAAACTTTTGGTGGAATAAAATACAGAAGATAAGATAAAAATAAATTACTCACATTCAGGGAGGGGTAGAATAGTAACAACTGTAAAAAAGAGCTCAAATATTAAGTGTTTGGAAATAAATCTCTTAAATCTTTGGATCATAGAACGTAAATGTTATAGAAATATTCTTAGAATACTGTGAATCAAGAAGAAAAGAATACCAAAAATGTATAGAATTTAACATAAAAGAAAAGTAACTTATAAGCAGTTTCATTTATGGGAAACAGATGACACATTCAAAGAATTGCAGCTGTTTAGAAAGAACAGCAGTGTATGGCAGAATTTCTGAAAGATAAGGCACAGGCATCCAACACAGAATAGAGGCTCCATGGTCATGATGTAGCAAGAGGCAGAGAGACTGGTAAAGGAGTTTTTTTGGTGAGCTATGATGAAAGTGACAGTTTGCAATGGTCTGAGATGATCAATGTCCAGCTTGCTGCATATTTCTAAAGAATTGTCATACCTGTAGTGACCTGCCAGTTTGTCAGCATGGGGACGCAGTAAGAGAATGTCCAATAGTTTATTGACCACAGTGCTTATATTTTCTTCTGGAATGCCCCTCAGACGTGCATACATGACCAGTGTTTCATAGCCAGTCATTTGATCAATCAAAGCATCAAACTGTGGGCAGTAGCCCATGTTGGACTGAACCTGTTGAGTTACAAGAATTAAATCGTCATTCTATAAACACCACTATCTCTTGCTCAAAGATTTATGTAAAAACAAAATACATAAAAAGATACAAAGCTATAAATTACAAAAAATAAATGAATAAAATTAAATTTAAAAAAAAATGATTCTGTCTATCCTAGCTCGCTTGTCCATTGTCTGCCCATATCAGTGCAGCACGCCGCATACCCTTGCAGATCTCTGAATGTATCTCACAGACTCTACCACCTGTCACCATAAAAAAATCAACCAACCAACAGATCATATCTTCCAAGACTGCCTAGAGATTGTCAGAAAATTAATTGTGTGGTGATAACATCCCTACAAGACAGAAGGGTCAAGATCTGAAGTTCACCACCCATTTCATGACTCACCCAACACCAGATGTGCAGATTAAGCTGTCATAGGTTTGGGTCCTAACAGAGCCTGACCTTTAAAAAAATGACCTTGGCACCCAGGTGGACCTAACCTTAAATGAGTACCAGATTTCCCCCCCCCCCCCCCCCCTAAACTTTCCCCAGAGTGCCATTGGTCTATAAAATACACACAGGTCTAGCTACATATGCCCATTATGCCTGACGGCATTTACTTTACTAGTATTATAATTTAGAGTAGAAGACTGTGGATCATATGATAGTGTTTAGTACGTAAAAAAAACATTTGAACACATACACCATCTTAGTAATATACTAGTAAAGCTACAAAGTTATTAGAAATAAAAGACAGCACTGAGACCAAAAAACTTCGTATACTTTCTGAAAACAATTACAAAGTCTGGAAAATATTCACATATTAAAAGCATATAAGCAGATATAAATAAAGTTTATTCAGTAAGTAGAAAGGGTTTATCAGATACAGTGCAGTGGAAATTCATCACTTATATCTGTTAAAGAAAATAAATTGTACTATGAATTCCCTATTTTACACTGTGGTCAGTGCCTATTTGTTTCACACTTCAGAAAGTAAATATTAAGTTCAGTGTCAACGTAAAGTAAATAAAACATGTTCACACCACTAGTACATGAGGCCTAATGAACAAACAAACATAAACACTTTATTTGTAAAGGGTTCAGAACTGGGCAAGCCCACCCATCTTAAATTCTGCCCTAATGGCCTCACTCAGTACATACATTACTCTATTCATAAATAGGTTAGCATTAAAATATAATATACATCATCAACATCTAATTCACAGTCACAATTGCTGGGATATATTCTACGTATACCCACATTTCCAAACAGTAATAATATGCATATAGTGCTAGGCCTATATTTGTAAAATGTATTTGGCACTCAGATGTAGATGTGGGCAACATCAGTCCGGCTGCCTTTACTTCCAAGATTGACATTTTAGGTTGGGTTGATGTGAAAGCTCTAGGTCAATTAGTTTTAAAAACTGGGGATTCAAACTCCACACCCTCAGGCATGCAGGCAAGTGTCTAGTCACTCTGACACCAGGGCTCTCAACACTTCAATGTTATAGAAACGTTTATGAGAGAAATATGGTAGAAAACACAAGAAAGGTCCTATGAATTCCAGAGAAATTTGACTAAAAAGCTCAACAAAATGGGAAAGAGGAAAACGTGCACAAAACAACACAATGAAAGTTTCGGCCGGGCAGCCTTTTTCAAACACAAGTGAAATATACAAACGAGGAATGGAGAGTATGTAGATCTCTAAGGGGTGACGTGAGCGACGTTTAAAAAATGTGATGCGGAATAAATGAAATAAAATAAAATAAACGATGGCTAAAAAATATAGTCACAATACTGGGAATAAAAGAAATGCAAGTGTTAATGATACATAAATGATATTGATAAGAAATAGAATATGGTAATAATATGAAATAAAATAAAATAATTAACATTTAAAAGGTCCTAGTAGAACTATTAATACTTACATCTTTAATACTGCTGCGAACATCAAAACCTTTCAAGTAAGCATTGCCTCCTGTGACCATAACATCTCCAGTTAACATTTTGAAAGTTGTCGTTTTTCCTGCTCCATTTTGGCCAAGAAGACCAAAACACTCCTGTTCAGGAATGCCGACACAGATGTGGTCCACGGCAACAAAGTTATTGTACCTCTTGTACAGGTTAACCAGCAGCAGAGGATCTGAGGTCAGACATGTTGTATGCATTAAAATTTAAAACAGGTTTAAATTTGCCAGCAGACATTACTTTTTTTTCTTCTTTATTCAGCTCTGAGAAATAAATGCAATATGTTGTGTCCATTATATTTTGTAACTACAAGATATCTGCGCCATTCAACTGTTACGCACAACTGAGTACTAATCTAAGAACCTCTTGTACATCACAGTACACCAAGCATACCTTTGGATCTTCTATCTCATGTGGAAAATGTATTATGGTGTAGATGCAGATTACTCTGGCTGCAAACTAGCTCTACACGTTCTCTTCATGTCCTACATCCTTTTTTTTTTTGCCAGATCCATACCAAATTCCAACCCTATATATGTTGTTTTGTCTAACCAAACAGCTTCTGTCAGCCCTAGTTCTTATGATATTTCTCTTGGTTAATGTGTTCCGCAATGAGTATTTTTTGTGTGGTTCTCAAATACCTGTTTGGTTTGGTCATTTAGTAAGAATCCAGCCAGAACAACTACTAATGCAGGCTTTACTCATGAAAAGATCTGAAATGAAAGCAAGAGGTCACCCTCGGAGGATATGGACTGATGACATTAAAGAGCTTCTACATTGACACAGAATGACATTAACCAATGCATCAAGCAATGGATAGCAAACTCTTCCTTCTCACTACGCTTAATGGCAGAAGTAGAAATGAATGATGATGACGATGATTGTTTCTACAGTCTCATAGCCTCTGAGCAATTGTTTGACAGGCTTAGCTTTTCCTCAAAATATTATAACAATAATAAGTAAATTTAGAGTCACAGGCTCAACAGCAAGACTCTCACTTGCGGATTGGAAGTTCATGGGTTTGGGTCTTGACGGAACTGATTTTTCAAAAATGACTGTGTCTCCCAGGTCAACTCAGCCTTGCGTGGGTACAAGGTGTAGTCCTAGGAAGTAAAGGTGGCCAGTGTGATGCTGACCACATCACCTACCAAGAAGTGGTCGGTCTATAAAATATAGGTCTAGCCCAATATGCCTAAAGGAGTGGACAAGGGTTCTTTACTTATATTAAATTAGTTTACTAGAAATCAATTAAGAAACTTATTATCGTTAATGGAAGAAACAAAACAACATACAACAATATTTAATTAGTAGAAACAGCATTGGTGTACATCTGCATTTTACACAAAAGGAAAGTTGGAGGGGAAGAGAGGCAGAGGGAGACTGAGAGACAAGATGCTGGACAGTCTGACATCATGGCATGAAGATTCATCTCTATTAAAGTTGACTGAAAGTACACAAGACAGAAGGTTGTGACATGACTACCAACACCACACGGCGTGGACTTTTAAAAAAACAGTATTTTTTTTTTAAATGCCCATTTGTTGGCACTACGCTATTATCACAAAATTACTCTTTTAGAAGTTCAGGTAACTTAACCAGTTTTACTGCCATTTTGCATCGCTCACTGGTAATTTGTCAAAAAGAAGATTTATCTTTGGATAATTTAAATGCCTGTCCGTCTCCTTCACCCCGCACCCACCTACACACCCATATAACTATTGTGTATGTAATCATATTTTAGTGCAGAATAAATCTATTGATACAGCTGAGAAAAGCATAGCTACAATATCACTTTCAGATTACAAACTTGGAATTGAAAACAGATGACTACATTGATTACTGGTACAAACCTCCTGATGACGAGAGAACTGACGCAGGGCAAGAGTTGATTCTCTGTCTCTCAGCAGCCACATCGCTGTCTTCTGTCTGGTGTGCACTTCTTTCAGCGTCCATAAATTCTGAACCGGTGTCTGGAGCGCCACGGATAAGATACCTGCAAGTGACAGTTTAATACAATTGATTATCTCATGTGATCTGAGACTGGGAATGATGAATAAGATACCAGCAAATGACTGTTTAACACATAGGTTTCTCTGATGTATTCTGAGAATTAGGAGACATGAATGGAATTAAACTAACTGTTTAATTTTTCTCATGTATTCTGGAAAAAAATCATGGTGGCATGAAAATAAAGGTGATGGAGGGTGCAGTTTCTGGGAAACAAGGCGGAGGTCAACCTTTACGAATGTGGATATATGAGGCTGAAGATGAACTGGCTATGAATGCACACTGGGTTGTATAATTGGCTGGAGAAAGAGAGACTTTCAGGTATGTTATTAAGAGAGTGACATTCTGTAGAATGTTGCATGATTTTTCAATTAAGAATGGACATCACAGCACTCAGGACACTTCCATAAGCCCTCCATCCCAATCTTCAGCAGCAAGTAAAGAGTTATAATTCTAATAGCACCAGTAATTGTCTGAATGCATGTTCATGAGCGTTGAGAGTCAGCCAGACCCCCTGGTAACTCCTTGCAGCATCATTCTCCTCAGACCGTAATGATCTATCTGTGCATCAGCACTGTTCACTTGCTCCCAAAAAGCACTCACAAAATATAACTTGTCATACATCAGTTCACCCCCAAGTGTTGCAGAACCAGCCAGTCTCATTTCCAAACACACCAGCATCAACTGGAGAAAATATCCAACGGATACTAACTACCTAGGATCTCTGAAGTGATGCCTGCCACTCTGCTGGGAGAAAGCCTGTCTCCACCTTTCTCATGCTCTCTGAGTCAGTTATAATCATGCATGTGTGTACTGCTGATTCTCAAACCAGCGGAAGGCAGCAGTGACTGCCTTCAGCTCCAGTTTTAAATTAGACTGACATTCTGTAAAGGAACTACTGACTGATGATAATGAAGATGATGATTCTGAGAAAGGAGACCCATGGATGATAGCAAAAATTGGCAGTTTAATTCATACAGTTGACAATATGATTATTACAGATTTAACTAGTCACTGTGAAGAAAACAACACATAGCAGAATGCAAACAAATTATTGAGTCAACTTCAAAATAATGAACAAATGAAGAAGTTGTACTTTTGAGTGGTTAAGAATCTGGCATGCAAGCTCATCTCACTAACACCCATCTCTACTAACAAAGAAGCTATCTGGCCAGTTCTAAACTCAGTCAAAACAAAGCTTTATGGTACACAGGAAGATCAGAACTGCATGAAAGCTTTCATCAAGGCAAATGACCTTGTGATGTCAGTTTTTCTGACAGAAGGATCAAAGAAGAAGAAGACGTGCAATTATTTGTACATAAAAAAAACATACATAGAAACATGTGACAGTATAGCTGCAGGTAAAACATACAGAGAAACAGGTGACAGCACATCTACATGTAAACAGAGAAACAGATCATGTAAACTTACAAATACCAGTACATTAACATCAATTGTAAAAAAAAAAAAAAAAACACACACACCAGATGACAGCACATCAACATGAAACTTACAGAGAAACAGATGAATCAAACTTATAGAGAAACAGATGAATCAAATTTACAGAGAAACAGATGAATCAAACTTACAGAGAAACAGATGACAGTACATCTACATGTAAACAAACAAAGAAAAGATTGATAGCACATTGACATTAAAACAAAGAAACAGATTAACAACAACAACAAAAAAAGACCACAATACAAGTGTATGCAAACATACATAAAAACAGATAACAGCAGTAAGACATTCTCACCAGATCCTCTGGAAAATATGGTTCTCTATAAGGATAATAATCACCACACAGACGACACCTTGAAGAGCCATGAAAAACAGATAAGGCCCAATCCCTGGCTTGGTCCAGCTCATATATTCCTCTTCAAATTTGTAGCAAATAGTTGTGCATCTGTCTGTAGTCATTTGATTATAGTGTTAATCTAGGATTTGTTGGTAAGTGATCTTACAGTGACAACAATAAGATTTCTTACAAAAGATAATCATGAATGCATTTTTTTTTTGGGGTACAACAATGGTGCCAACAAACAAGTCTTGTGCAACAATTTACAGACGATAGAGGTGTGACAATTGACCAGACAACTATTTGCCATACTGACATATGCAACAACAATTATGTTATTAAAGAATGAGATCGTTTGCACCAGATATGAGTTCTTTTCATGAGTTAGTTTCCATTTTTATTAAGCTGTTCATCAGTCCGAAGTGTTTTTCTTATTCTTCAGTTAAACCGCATCTCGGCAGCTTCCATGTATTTTTGCATTAATTAATTTCTGAATTTGAGCTTCTCTTGACCTGCTAATTAACTACATTCGCAGGAGGGACTTTATCGGCTTAGTAAGTTTTTGACCTGCAGAGTGCCCTGGTGTGCTACGGTAGAATGTACACCTACTCGTGCCAACACAAATTTTCAGAGCCACATTTGTTACTATTGTGCTTTTTGCAGTCTTCATCACTAGGAGGTGCAGTTATAAATATTCCTTCTTCTCACAAATATACACTGTGCCTGTTAAAAAACAAATATAACATACAGGTTGTTCTAAGCCATATTACCTATTCACAAATTCTAGATTTAAACAGTCTCACCATCAATAGAATGTTTACCTTTGCAGCAGGGATGGGCCATGACTTTACAGTACACTAGATTTGGTTTACATGCTTCAGTGTTTTCGTAGTTGGTGTACATGTTGATGAAACAGGAAGCCATGTTGTAATTGGGGAAAAAAATGGTAAACAACCAGTCCAAGCCTACAGCGACGTTCTCTAAGCCAATAGTAGGAATCTGGAAAATGAACACTGCTATAGTTGTCACCAGACCTGAAACGTATAGATAACAACCTGATTAGTAAGTCACAATATAATATAGTTGCCTCTTATGACATGCTTCACTGGATACAATATTACAATTCCCCCCTCCCCCCCAGAGACCTAGCAATCCTTAGATGAGCACCATATTTAAGTTAATCCTTTCATAAAATAATTAAAGCAGGTAAACAAAGGCCCTTTGCCCATGCTTTTAGGCACACTGGGCATATAGGGCTAGACCTATATTTTATAGATCAGTTGGCGCTTGGTGGGTGATGTGGTCAACATCATGCCAGCCACCTTTACTTCCAGGGACTTTACTTGGTACCCATTCAGGACTGGGTGGACCTGGGAGCCAAGGAACCCATGACCTTCAAATCGTCAGGCGAACACCAAGCCGCTACACAACAGCCATCTTTTCATGGAGGTTAGAAATATAAAAGTGTATGAAGTACAGATGACGGATAGTCAGTGTTCATTGGATACTTTCTCTGGGGAATGCAGGAGTGCTGGGAAATAAGTAGGCAGGCAGATTGGTTGGTTCTGCACCTGTGGGTGGTGAATTTACGCGTGACAAGCTTGATGTGTTCAAAGCCCTTTGGGAGCAGCTGAACAATGAATGGGCACAAATGTGTCATTAGAGTTTGAAGAGAACGGTACAACTGAGACTCTAAACTCAGTGAAAGAGGAGACAGACGTATATTCAGACTGCTACTGGCATCATCAGAATTAAAGCTCATTGCAGGCTGCTAAGAACCAGGATGAAGCACTCGTTGGAATGTTCCAAATGCTGTGATGTTAGTTATTAGCTCAAAATCCAACATTAAACAAATGCAGATGCAGTTTATAACAGGATTTGTAATCTTTTGAAGGTACAACATACAAACGGTGTGATGCTGACCACATTCCTGACCAATTGCCACTTGGCCTAACAATTTTGAACTAACCCCATATGCCTGAAGGCGCGGAAAAGGGTCCTTTATTCTATCTCAGTTTACTTACAACATTTAACGTGTAATTAACACAGATATTTGAGAGTCATTATTGGAACAGTTTAGCAGCCTGATATGCATCGATAATTTAAGCTAATGGTAGTCACGTGTCAGATACTGGAATGTGAAGTATCAATGTCATTGATCTACGGAGATAGAAGAGATAGCCAGAGAGATGGAAAATCAAAAAAAGCTAAAATCTTAAGTATAACATACCCGTAACAATGTTTATCATAAGAACAACAGCAACTCCTGTGGCAGGTATTGTGAAGGCAAACTGTATCGCATACATAAAAGGCAGCACTGCCCATCCATAGAGAACAAGAATGAGGATATCTATTGCCCATCTGCCATCACCAATGAAGGCTGTCTTGCTAAATATGGCAAACACAACTATAAGCAGCAGGCTGGGGATGATATAGTTGATGAAGTCCCACAGGAAAGTTGGTAGCCAGTAGGTTATGGGACCCACTCCACTCACAACTTGCATATGCTTGGCTCCAACCTGAAACAGATCATGTGTTTTATTTTAGGTAATGTGGGATTTTGTATTCTGAATAAAGTTGACAGAAGGGATATACAGAAGAAAATATCATTTCGTTATTTATTGCTCATTTATTTTTAATTTATTGCTTTATGAGTCAAATAAAGCAGTGGCTAGAACACTTGCCTGTTGGCCAGGAGAAACCCACTGACGTGGGTTGTTTACATTGCCCTTGGCTCTCTGGTAAAGCCAGACAAAACGGCTATAAATGAAAGATTCTTGGAAGTAAAGACTATCTTGCATTGTTTCAAAAGTAGTATTGATATTTGACCGTTCACAAAGCTATGACAATGACAAACTACTAAACGTAAATTTTTCTAGAAACACCACAACAGTAATAAATGGTAGAGGGTTAGTTCTGCAAAGTCCTGTACATGATATACAACTAGCTGTAACAATCTATGAGGTGAGGCAGCCTCTCTTACAACCCTTTTTTTCCTAGAAAGATCACAGAACATTCTAGAAATTATCTATTACCTATTTTTATAAGGGCTTGTCAACTCCAGAGCCACACTTGTCAGAGAAATACATTACAGCGTGTGTTGACTGAACATGGAACACTGTCTGATTAGGAGAGCACACTTCCACTATGCCAATGCAACTTACCGCACAAGTAAACAAATTAAAGACCAATTTCATGCTAGTGGTGCATCAGTCTAGACTCATATTTGGATAGACCAAATGGCCTTGGGTGGCTGATGTGCCAGTGTAATTCCAATCACCTTTACTTCTCAGGATATTTCCTGGTAACCATTAAATGCAGGGTCCACCTAGGAGCCAAGGTCATTTTATTCCAAATCTGCCAGGTGCTTATTGCAGAGAGAAAACTGAACAGATCTTATTGATGACTAACTGGTGCAAACTAGAGTGGATCAGTAACAGAAAATGTGGTTTGGGCATATATGCAGAATGGGAGAGAATTGGCCACCACCGCAGGTATGGGAGGCCAAGAATCAGGGAATCAGACTTCCAGAATGACCCAGGGTTGCCTGGGAAGACAACATGCATCAATGATTGACAGAGGACCGGAAAGGAGCAAAGCCAGAGAGAAAACCGCTGACAGAGAAGTCTGGCGATCTCTCTGCCAAACCTCTACACTGCAAGGTAGAAGAGGATCGATTACTGAAGTAAGTAATCTGCCAGGTGCTCATTTGAACAAAAGACCTTTGTACTGATACGTAAGTGTCTAACCTCTACACTTCTGTGACTTCCACAGCTTACTCTACCATGTTTTATTTCACTATATCGATTTTGTCCCTGTGATTTATTGTGTGATTATGCTAACAGAGATAGTGTGAACAAACCTGTCTCTCCTTGATCAGAAAGTACATGAACATCGTATTTGTCACTGTGATTTATTGTGTGATTATGCTAACAGAGATAGTGTACACAAACCTGTCTCTCCTTGATCAGAAAGTACATGAACAGAGTAGTCAGAAACGACATGCCAATAGTGATGAACAGACCAATCGTAAAGCCCAAGCCTTGGTTGCTCAGAATATTATCCTTGGCAGCCTCCTTCTCATCTTTGGGCAGAGGGTGTACAGTAGACTGCAGGCTGTATGAATCATTCAGGCTGCTCTGAAGGAAGGTGTTCATCATGTAGTTGACCTGTCAGAGGACGATACACAAACATGAAACAATCTTTATGAGAACCAGAACAGGCCAGCTTCCCCCACCCTTAAACACAATCACAACAATCACAAATGATATAACTATGTAAAAGAATTCACACAAAATAACTTAGTCTTTCAGTGAAGTCTATCAAAATATTCATCCACACTTGAAAAAAAAAACAACAACAACAAGCAAACAAAACAAGCATTGCTTTGGAAAGCATTCTCTGATGTCAGAATGGGCACAGCAAATGCACACGAAGACCTACAGAGGTAAGAAAGCTAGGCAGAAAATGTATATAAACAAAATATTGTTTCTATGGTTTCAAGGGTTCACTGCCACACATGAAGAAAGTGAATGTTACAATCAAGGAAAGTAACATTAAAATATTTCTATAAAACTCTGAGGAGAAAGGAGGAAGCAAATATAATTCACTAAAGGCTTGCAGACTCTTTCATTAAAAAAAGCAAGATCACAACTTCATGAACATTTTTAGTCTAGGAATTTGGATTTTAAATAGTTGACCTATGTGCGAACAACAATACATTGGGATGTTTAGTTTAGGATTATATATTTCATGTAGCAAGTATTTCAACAACTACTCTTTGAATAGAATGAAATTACATCTTCTCACAATTGCTTCTCAATCTTTTGGCTAAGATCAAAGTGTAGCTCTGCTGCACTGGTCTGGCTAAGGAGACCAGGATCAGTCACAAACCAAGTCCCTGGTGAAACCCAATCGGCAAGAGCCATCTAACAAAACTCATGCCAGGGGCGAATGAAAGAAGAAGAAGAACTCATGCCAGGTAGTTTCCCCATTCAGCCTGCACTGCTGACATAATATCCTGTGGGTAATCAGACAGGCAGGCTGGGCTTTCGGAACACCAACTTAGTTAAAAAAAAAAATATTACATCTTTCACAGCTAGTTGCTCAAATGGTGTGATTTGTCTCCAAGTTGATAAAACAACAGTACTATTAACTGGATTGTGGGAACAATGTCTTGCATAAAACTGACTGAAAAAAAGAAGATCAAGGGGTTCACTTATCTTCTTAACTGCATCAACTACCACCAATATAGACACTTCAGCTAAAATGCACTGATGTGATAGCAAAATAGAGCTCATAGAGAATACAGATTGATGACATTAAAGATATAATACACATGGAATAACCTTAGCCATTGCTACCCAAACTGTACCTTCCCACAATGCATACTGGCAAGTGTAGAAGTTGATGATGATGGTGATGACAAATGATGCATTTAATACTGAAAATGTTCCAGAATAACTGTTTTCAGAGTTTTAAAAATGCATGCAACATTTTAAAAGAAACAATCATAATGTAAATGTTAAAACATTATAGTTTAGTTAATTGTTGAAATACTCACAGATATTGGCTGTGAATGAAGAGGCTGGCCATTGTAGTAAGCAATGGCAGCAATAGTTTCATTTGGTTTTGCATCTGCAACTTCCAGTCCAATAATATACTGCAGGTTGAAAGTCAGCAATGTCTAGGGTTTTCGTTATGTTAATCGTGTAGTTATCAAATGTACTTCCCTGAAAAGATACAGAATTCCACAGTCAGCACAATTAAAAATCTCATATGTTTAAATATTATACTTCTATAGCTTCTATATCATACAAAACAGTCTTACTCACACACTAAAAAAATTACTGTAAAACTTCTAAAGCTTCTCTGAATTAAAATTTAAAAATACTTTTTAAATGTTTCTTTTCCTCGTTTTAATTTTTGTATAAACAGATTGCTGAATTTCCCTAATATGTTAGAGATGCTGTAGATTTGTATTTGCTAATTAATAATATCAGATGAAGAGGTGAAATATAATTTGAGTACTGGGATAACTAAAATTCACAAAGCAAAGGAAATATCTCTCTCTCTTTCTCTAGATCTTTTTCCACGCCTTTAGGCGTATAGGGCTTATAGGGCTAGACCTATATTTTTATAGACCAATCAGCACAAGATGGATGATGAGGTCAGCATCACGCCGGCCGCCTTTACTTTCCCGGGACTGCACCCGGTACCCACTCAAGGCTGGGTCGACCTGGGAGCCAAGATCATGTTTAAAGGAAATATAATGAGACTTTAAAGCAACCAAGAAAAACACAAGGAATACCTAATAAAAGTTGTTAAAATGTAAAAAAACAACAACAATTAAGCAGTTTAAACACATGGCAAAATACCGGTTCAAAACTATGCACCTAAACAAGAAGGCTACAACTGATGAAAAAGGTAAAGAACTCTGGCTTTATAGCACAGTGCCATTGCTTAGTATTTTTTGTTTGGAGAACTTTTTGAAGGTTTAGAATTTAGAGGCTTCTTGAACTTGTGATCACCACAATTTTTCAGGCTTAGGTATATTTAATTTGAAACAAGTAAAATTATTTTGTCATATCGAGGAAAGAGCCTGGCTTTCCTGTTGTATTTGAGAGGTTTCTTCTATTCATCTGTTGACCTATATGATATAATTAAAATGCCCCAATTTGGGACACAATTTTTCATTATTTGAAGCTCACCCCAGCATTAGTCGAAAGGGAGAATGCGGGAGGGTTGGGGGGGCTGGTGTTGGTCGATCGTTGGACGGCCCTGATGGGGTTGAGCAACTTACTCACCTACTTGATAATTATAGAGAAATTAAATTACAAATTGATTAAACATTTTAAGAAAAAAAAATTAATAAATAGAAGACCTTATAAGCATACTTTACAACAATGAGCCTATTCTGTTTCAGTCATCTCTGATTACTGCCATTACAAGGGATAATATGCTGCAATCGTTAGAGCATTTGGCAACCAGAATAGATAACAGAGAGGTAAAAAAATAGTCTTCATGGAAACAAGAGTTTGACTAAACCAAAAAAAAGGTGAAGAGACAATAAACCGGCGGAACTACAAACACTTGGAGTCATCAAATGGAAAAAAGAAGAACAAGCAGAGAGATGAATTGAGGTCGGTGATAACTGGAGCAATGAATCTCAAGACTGCTAAAGAAGAAGAGGGAGGAGGAGGAGGATAAAAAGAGCAGGAAGAGAAAAAGAACAAGGAAAAGAATAAGATGAGCAGGAATAAAAAGCACAATTTAAATATTAAAATACAAGTCATAAAAACTAACACTGCTTAAATTAAAGTTTTCCAAGTTCTGGCTCTGTCCAAACTGCTTTCCATACAGATCTGCAAAATGATTCTTTTCCAATGAGAAATTTACTCCAGTTGTATATGGTATGTTTGTTCTGCCATATGCTGAGAGGTCCAGTTTCAAAAGTGGTTGTGGTTTATTTTCAGGTTTAGCCTCCATGATTCCCAGACCCAGAAGTGTGCTAAGCACTGGCAGAAGTAGCTGGACAAGAGTCACTGTGCGGTTGCGCCACGTGTGGATTGCTTTCTTCACAAACAGGGCACGGATGCGTGAAGTTTTCAGGGCCAACCCTGTCTTCTTTGAGAAGCCCTTGTTGAATGCTGTGGAATGGTAAAAAAAAGAAACCATGTAGGAAGAATAATGAAATTGCTGTATTTATTAGTGAATATGTTTAATCTACTGGAGACTAAAACACACAAGTATAGAACTAAAAATAAATAATTGTCACATGTGTTTTCTAACTCATTCACTGAACATGATTAGTTTAATGACCAGAATGAATACTGTAATGAATCACAGTATTAACTGTTGTCTAATCATTTTCAGTATCAATTTCAGTGGTCTCTATTATTCAGTGTCAGCGTCTGTGGCTTAGGCATTGTGAATGAGCTTCCTAATACAGGGGTGCTGGGTTTGATCACAGCTGCAGACCTTGCACTTTGCGTTGATTTTGACAGTGGTATCGAGAAGCCGTCCATCCAAAATCAATGGCAAACTACTGGTCATAGATTTTTCTAGAAAAACCACAACAGATGAAAATTCTGGGGTTGATTCTGCAATGTCCTGTAAAAGATATGCAACTGACTAACTAGCTATTATTAAGTGGTTAACCTTTTGCTCTCAAGGTCATGTGTTTGTTTCACCTACTGGCATCATTTGATTCACAGGAGTAATTTTTTACATATATATACTCGAGCATAATGTATCTTAGGCATTGTGAATATGCTTTGTTAAGCCAGGGTGCAGGTTTGATCCCAGATGCAGGTGATCTGATAGCAGAAAGTCTTGTGATGGTTGAGCTAGTGGTACCAGAGCTGACTTTTCAGTAAGCAATGGCAAACTACTGAACTTCGCATTTGCCTGGAAAAACCACAAAAATGCTGTTGTTGGTTCTGCAACATCCTGTAATTGATACACAACTAACAAAATTGAGCACTGCCACTGAAGCTATGGAGTTCATGCTTTGTGCAGTGCAAAGGCAGGTGGAGAGAGACTGATTCATATGGGATAAAAACACAAGTGCAAGACAGTTGATCCCCTAACTTTAAACTTGTAATCTTCTAAATATAATCCTTTTTAGTTATTTAGGTTTTTTTTCATCTAAAATTGAAAAGATTTTGTCATGGATCAAAATTAACTGAGTTACTGATCAAATTTGTTCAAAACTTTTTTTAAAACATAAAAACATTACACTGAATGATGCTACTGGCATGTTATACAACCAGATTTAACAGAATGGAAGGGAAAATGCAGGGGAAAAGAAACAAAAAAACCCAGAAGATATACACAAGACTACTTTATCACAAAGACACAAAAAGACAATAGGTTCTTATTAGGACAATCAAAAGTAACAGTAAAAGGAAATGAAGAAATGCTGTCAACTCCAGTCTTACCACCGACTAATCAGATGATGATGAATGCTCCTTGTTTGGGAATCTGATTTCACTGATAAGAATGTACCAAGACATCACTCAGCGAATGATGGGTTTCCACCTCATATCCTTTATCACAACAATGGTGCATTGGCCTTCAAACAACACATGCCATGTCACCAGATCCTTTGCTTCCATGTGCCTGTTTATGCATGTCTTCTCCTCTATTTCACATCATTTTCTTATTCTTTTCTCCATGTATTTTAAAATGTGCCTTTATTATTTATTAGACTCAGTGTCTTCTGATGCCATGACCTTCTAGTTATATTGTTATGTTTTCTCACTTTGTGTCCCTGCCAGTGCAAGTACAACAAATGACTAAGACATTGTCTGAAAGCACAACTACAACATTTATGTTTATGAGCAATTAAATGCCAGTGAAACAAAACTTTACTTACCCATTATATCTGAATATGGGGCTTCCAAATTTTCATTTTCCAAGTCACCCTTTTCCGCATAAACTTTATTGGTGTTTCCAAACACTCCATGGGAGGTGCCATTTTCTAAGTGATTCAAATGATTTTTTTCGGGTTCGAAGGCGCCATTCATGTATCCATTCTCATGTTTGACAAAATCACCATCTGTTGAGCTTGATGGACTCTCATCTTCAAAACTGGCTGTGTCTCCCACTCTGAAGAAATTGTTTAAAGTGGCAATTTATTAAGTGCTTTTAATATAATTTCTAGTATTAGGCAAATTATGTTTTTCATGCCAGTTAACATAACTGATTTCTGTTAGAAAACATTATAGCAAACATATTAGTTGTTAGATTACTTGGTTTTGTTGTTGGTTTTGTTGATGTTTTAAAAACATAATATATCAGTCATGTAAGTTAACTTAAAATAATTTTTTTCTGCTTTAAAATATATACCTCATTTCTGGAGAAAAGGGTAGAGGAGCAAAATAAGAAAGAGGAGTATAGAAGAAAAAGGCAAAAAAGATAATGTGCAAGAATGAGGAGGGGAGAAAAAGGTGAAAAAGATAATGCGCAAGAAGAAGGAGGAGGGGAGAAAAAGGTGAAAAAGATAATGTGCAAGAAGAAGGAGGGGAGAAAAAGATGATAAAGATAATGTGCAAGAAGGAGGAGGGGAGAAAAAGGTGAAAAAGATAATGTGCAAGAAGGAGGAGGGGAGAAAAAGGTGAAAAAGATAATGTGCAAGAAGGAGGAGGGGAGAAAAAGTGAAAAAGATAATGTGCAAGAAGGAGGAGGAGGTTAATATTTTTTTGCCATTTCCCCACTTGAAAACTTATTTCTGGGTTGTTTCACTTGAATCCTAAGAAATGCCTGTTTTTTTTTTCTTTTTCTCTGAGTTTTTCTATTTCCTGGTGTGTCTGGCACTACTAGCAGGTGTCTGTCGACTCTACCGCAACAGACTGAGCCAGGTTTAAAAAAAAAAAGAAAAAGCCAGGTCAATGACCAGTTAAACACATTTTCATTTTAAAGGACATAATATTTCAACAGAAAATGAACAATGAAATATCCTAAGGTATAATTCTGTAAAGTTCATGGAATAATAATGTACCTTTCTGTATTTTATGTCCATTAATTAAGTTCAACGAACAGCCCTACTGCCCTAGAGCAAGAGGCAGACCGAGAGTACGATAGATAGACAATATATCAGAGATCCTGAGGCAACAAGGACTAACAACAACACGTGCAACACACCTGGCCCAGGATAGAAAACTGTGACACCCCACTACGCTGTGAGGCAATTGTGGACAAGACAAGACAAGACAATTAAGTTCACATTTTTGGAATGATGAATTGGTTCAAAGAAGTATGATTGTCCTCTTCTCATTTTTCAGCAAAGTGTTAAGGGAAAAAATATAGAATGTGTGCTTTTTTTAATGTATACACTGTACAGTATTAGTTGGCCTTCTATTTTAATCTCATTATGTATTCAGTGTCTGTGAATAGCAAACATACAGTAACATGACAATACGTAAAATTCTACCCCTTACTTAAGAAAAACCTCTTCCATAGTAGTAGCTGCTGCTCCAAAGCTGGTAATCCCAAGTTCCTCCTTTTTCTTGTCTAAGTTATTGAAGAGATCAGGGAATCGACTGGACATGTTATCAGGAAGCAGGTAAGAGACTTCTGAATTGATTAATGGTTTCAAGTTCTGCTGTTTCCACGAAGGACTGAATGGTTTGTGTCACTTTTTTAACATCACAGTCTGGTTTTTTCACGACAACAAGGTGGTAGCCAGCACCTAATGTGACAGAGTGGTATTGTTTTAATAATAACATCTGATGGAAATTACATACGTACATTAGTGTTGTCAGATAATTAGAACATTTACACTTGTCTACTACACATATCAGTGTATGTAAAATGTCATTCAAAATGAACATAAATAGAAAAATAAATCAAATGTGTACAAGGAGTTTTGACTAATTATTCATTAGTAAAGAGCGTTTTTTTAGAATCTAAATTATTATTTTTTTGCTTTACAGCCTCATTATACAGTCTACTAGATTTGTAAGCAATTGTTTACATCAAAAATTTTTCAATTTTCTGTTATTCAAACTCCAACAGATTGCACAAGATAAAGCAGAATAGAGAAATAGCCTGTGAACACTATATGACTTACAGACAGCCCAACCCGATAACGATTAAATTAAATGAAAAAAAACTTCCTAATGAAATGAAATTAAAACAATGCTTTAGCTGGAAGATAATATACAGTTTCATACAATTATTTCTTGGAAATGTTAAGTAAATTAGAAAATTACAGAAAGAAGCAATTTACCAAACAACTTTTTCAAAAACATGGAACTGCCACAACATTTGATAACTCCTTCAGCCATGATAGCGATTCTGTCCCCAAGCAGGTCTGCTTCGTCCATGTAGTGAGTACTGAGCACAATAGTTCTTCCTTGTCGAGCTCTCTGTAACACATTCCATATCTGACGACGAGCTCCAGGATCCATTCCAGATGAAGGCTCATCCAAAAACACCACCTGTAAAGTGAATGTTAATTTTGAGCTATCATGGTATTGTTGTGAGAACACTGAACACAATAGTAAAAAAAAAAATGGTTCTTTAACTCTTTGAGTCCCAAAGAACGCATCATACATTCATAGGTTCCTACCTAGAAGCCCAATGAACGCATGATGCGCTGATTTTCTTTACTACCCCATGGGCCTATGAGGCTAAATGCCCTGGGACTCAAAGAGTTAAAATGTTTTTAAAAAAAGCACTATTCTAGTTTTGGAAAAAACCTCCCAAAATCTATAATGAACATGATTCAAATACCTTTTATTAAATCATACTGCATTTGACGATGACTTATGTTTCAAATTATAAGAAAAGTAATCATCCATTCAGTTAAAAAGAATAAAAAATTAGAATTCAACTGAAATCAGTGTGTGAATTTTAGGTTTGAATAATAATATATGTGTACCATATAGGTTTGAATAATAATATATGTGTACCATATAGGTTTGAATAATAATATATGTGTACCATATAGGTTTAAATAATAATATATTTGTACCATACAGGTTTGAATAATAAAATATGTGTGCCATATAGGTTTGAACAATAATATATGTGTACCATATAGGTTTAAAAATAATATATGTGTACAATATAGGTTTTAATAATAATATATGTGTATAATAGGTTTGAACAATAATATATGTGTACCATATAGACTTGAACAATAATATATATACCAAATAGGTATGAATAATAATATATATGTACCATATAGGTGTGAAAAATAATATAAGTGTACCACATAAGTTTGAATAATATATGTGTACCATATAGGTATGAATAATAATATATATGTACCATATAGGTGTGAAAAATAATATATGTGTACCATATAGGTTTGAATAATAATATATGTGTACCATATAGGTTTAAATAATAAAATATTTGTACCATACAGGTTTGAATAATAAAATATGTGTGCCATATAGGTTTGAACAATAATATATGTGTACCATATAGGTTTAAAAAATTATGTATATGTACCATGCAGGTTTGAATAATAAAATATGTGTACCATATAGGTTTGAATAATAGATATATGTGTACCATGTAGGTTTAAATAATAATATAAGTGTACCATATAGGTTTTAATAATTATATATGTTATATAGGTTTCAGGCATCTGCTGGTAATTTCCTATGCTGAATAAATTCATCATCATGTTCAGACTGAAGGTCAAGGAAAACTGGCTCTTAAATAGCATTCTCTACCAAAAACTGAGATACTTTAGACATGTCAAACACCATGGCAATTTGGAGAGAAGGGTGTTGGAAAGGTGCAGTTTTTGTAAAATGATGTATTGGCCAATCTCCATGAATGTGGATACAGGAGAAAGGAAAAGAATTGACTCTAGCTGAAATATTGGGAAGAAAGAACGTAATGGCAATACCAAAGAAATAGACTGTATAGAAGTTCATGTATCTAGGTACATGGCTAATATCAGATAGAAGATTTACCGGGGTTAGGTAAATGAAAATGTGTGTATTTTACAATGACCGAATTAAAATGTGGTGGTGAGTCCTAGACAGGTCAACAGTCCTACATACTCACTGAGTTTTCAGAGATGTTTTACAGAAGAATATTTATCATTACTGTAAGTAACAACAAGTAATTTATATGTTTTCAAAAGAGACTAAGATGAGAGGATTATTTTATATACACACATATATATATATGATCACAGATTGAATAACCAATATCACCCCTAACAGTCAGAATGGCACTTAGTAGTAGTAATAGTTAAAAAATAAATATTATTTTTAAACATCTGCAATTTAACTGATATAGATAGTATTTTTAATATTTCAATAATGGATACTGATACCTATCAACTATATTTAGTTATTCAATATTGCTTAGTTTATGTATTAACTATATAAGACTGTAGGAGCACAGATTGTCAGGTTAAATTTATTTTATGAATACTTTCAAAACGTATTATATTGTGTAGTCTATCTTTACAGATATTTGAAGTGATCTGTGATACCAATATTTTGTATTGAGATATATAAACACACATATAAACACTCTGTATGCTAACCCTGTTCTGGTTATGTATTGCTTAATCATACTCTGTGGTTTTCTAGAGCTATCTATTCCCAGTATGTTTCTATTAGCTTAATGCAGTAGATCATATACTCACTAAGAGAAGTCCTTTGGGGGATCATTTTTCTTGCAGTATAGTAAATAATGTTTCCTATTATTATTTGTAAGAATACAGAACATGTATCTTCTGCTATGGTGAAATAAGCTACTCCAAGTTGCGATCTTTAGTAATTTCTTACTGCAAGGTATTTTTAGTTCACTTGTTTTTTGACATTTTATAGTTATAGCTTTTAACAATCTGTAGGCATGTCTTAGACACAAGGCACTTCATGACAGTTATAGATCAATTAATGTTATATTACAAGTTTTAATGAGGCAAACCTTTGATCCTCCAATAAGTGCTATTCCAACAGACAGTTTCCTTTTTTGGCCTCCTGACAAATTCTGTGAAAGGTCTTTTATTTTAGACTCCAAACCGACCTCATTGGCAACCTCCACAACCTGTGATTTGATATCTGAACTGGTGCAGCCTTTCAGCTGTGGAAAAAAAAACCCACTCAGTTATTTATATATATTTAGTGATAATTCCAGTCATGTATAAATTCCAATGCCTGTATATATTTATAAAAAAAAAAGCGTGTAAACATTTATAAAAAATATTAATTACGTAAACAAGCATTTTTAAATCTAGAATTCTTTACTGATTGAGTAAAGTAATGCTACACTGGTGTGTAGCAATAATATACTTGTTTGTGTAGCGGCAGTGGGACTGAAGCATATGGACAGTGTAGTAGTTAGGCTAGTTCATATGCCAGGCAACAAAAAGGCAACACTGCATTTTCCCTTTTTGTTGTCGTTGAGAACCAAACTAATGTTGACTGGGTCTAGCCTTTAGACTGTATAGTGTAGCTTGTGATGCTGGAAGACTAACATGACACTTCAGAAGCCGTCAGTTTACCAGATAATAGGCCCAACATGTGCTGCTTTGTGGCTTAGCAGTTAATGAATGTGTTTAACAATCTCATGATCCTTGAGTACTAGGGTTTGATTCCTGCTGTCAGTGGTTATTACCATTATTATTATTTTGTCTTGGGTAATTAAAAACTTTTCTCATAGTTTTCGGACAGTAATAGGAGAGATGCACTGTGAAATAGACTGGAGCCTCATTACTTAGCATTCTCAAAGACAGAAGTGGTATATTGAACCCAACCTTATTGTGGAGATAGCACATTATTTAATTTAAGACCTAAAAATATGATTCATAAATAAGAGGTCACATGTCATGAACTCTGTCTGATCCCTTAAGCTCCACCTCTCTCAGCAGAGTATCTGGTTGCTCATTAAAAGAGCCACACAAAACATTAGCTATTTAATTAGCTGCAGTAATGACCTCAAGAGATTTTAGAAACACTGTATTCACAAGCCAAAGGGAAAGTCCAGAACCTAACTTGCAAACATTCACAGAGCACAAGGCAAGGGCTTAAGTGCTTTGATGCAACATGAAAGTTGCCTTAGTGGCATGTAAAAATAATTTATTTTACACCCTTTAACAAAATGTCAGTAATGTGTGCTACAAGATGGTATCACTAAGATGACAAAAAAAGAACAATAAGAAAGAATTGTGGAAAATTGTCTCAGTACATAAATTACTTCAAATAATTTAATTTTAGAAGTGTAAAATCCAACCTTGGCAAAGAAATGGAGATGTTCTTCAACGGTCAGTGTATCAAACAGGATGTCATGCTGAGGACAGAGGCCCAGACTGCTGCGGACACCAGCGATGTTGTTTCTGATGTCATAGTCGTTGACGTAAGCTGTGCCACTTGTTGGAGGAATAAAACCTGGTGAAATAATTGCTTTATGTCAGCCCTTTTATAGAATACTGGGGTGTCTCTGGAGCTTAATTAATTTTTCAAAAAACATTATGGTGTCTAAACATATAAGAATGATATGGGAGTTAAGAGAAAACCACTATGTCAAATTTTGCAGGTGAAGTTTATATGTAGCCATAAACATAATTCGTTTCTGGAGTAACAAGTTAAAAAATCTTGATTCCAGTCTTCAAAGTAAGGTAATTAACCTTGACTACTGTAACTTTAAAAGAAAAAAAAAAAACCAAAACATTATTCCAGCAAGCATCATCACAACAGATACCATGCCAGGAATTCTCTTCAGTAGGCTGACCTTTTTCTTCAGAGTAATGCTTTGGTCTGTATTGTTACTGACCCTGTCGCATCAACAGCCATGTGTACAAAAATTTTATGCAATGCAGCATTAAAAGGTGCATGATAAATTAAACATGTGCCTACATGTGTGCGTGTGTGCGTGTGTGTGTGTGTGTGAGGGGGGGGGGGGGGTGGATATTTCCCAAGGAGGTAACTACCAGCAGACTAAAAAAGAGTAATAAGTACACAAGATATAACTAAAGTAGAAGAAACACAGACTAAGGAGATGCTTTTGTTCATGCCAACCTGTAAGCATAGACATTGTTGTTGTCTTTCCAGCTCCATTATGACCTAACAGTACAGTTATCTGTCCTTTATACATGTTGAGTGATGTTCCCGCTACTGCAACCTTCCGCCCAAATGTCTGAAAAAGAGGATAAGTTATTGAAAACAATGATTTGTTTAAGTAGACATGAGAGAAATATGTAAGAACATTTGACAGAAATATACCACTTCTTCTTCTTCACTGGTAAAATCAGATGGACAATTGTGGTTGTTTGTCTACTCCTAGACTTCTTCTTCTTCACTGGTAAAATCAGATGGACAATTGTGGTTGTTTGTCTACTCCTAGACTTCAGTCTTGATCCAGAATTTGAGTTTTGCATGCATATCCAATTTACAGATCTGGCCTATTTGTATGCAGACAGCTGGTTCCTTGCCTCTCAGGTAGATGCACTCCAAATTTAAAGGAAACATCCCTAATTAGTCACCATCTACAACATGTTTGCCAGAGAGGCAGGGGGTCTATTCTTTGTTTTCTAAAACGGAGCTGTGGAACCCACATTGGGAATATACAATAAATGAAAGAAATGTGCATGAAAACTGAGAAAGAGATAATAGGAAGAGAACTAAGCAGTAAAACTTGATAGAAACATTGCACACACATGAGGAATTTGTGAAGCTCACCTGAATGAATTTTTTTAAATGTATATGACTGCTATGTGTAAGTGGGAAATGTCTTAAATATGAATGATTAACATACACAAGTATACACAAGTGAAAAATATAAGTTTATATCAGTGTAATGTAGAAGAAAATATATGTCACGTAGCCAGCCAGATCACACCTCTGCCGGTAATTCCACCACACTCTGTACATCTCTATGCATATGATGTGTAATCAAATATGGACCATTCCTCCATAAGTAAATAGTCCTTCTTTAATAAGTATGAATAAGGATGTACCTTGTTCAATCCTAAATCTATTGGGAGTGAGTTATATTGTGAATTCACTCACATGTAAGTGATTTTCACTAGAAATGAAACCTTTTCCACTGCCAAACTACTGCTTTATTAGGCAAATGGAATCCTTCCAGCTTCTGGCTAGGGGGAGTTAGAAATATTTGTGTCAATCTAGGCGAAGCTTCAGAAGTCAGCAGATGCTCTAATGCCTTTTCTGTCAATTTGGGTATTAATCTTCTTGTATGTTACCTTTTTCACATGAAAACTTCAAGAGAGTATGGGATGTATGAGCTATGATACTGTGACAGAACTGACACCACTGAAACCTACATCAGGATCGAAGTTACAAAGACCCACACAGGTACTGCCATCAATCACCCCATCACTAGTACCTAGTACTAGTCACCAGGCACCCAACTCTATTATATTCCAGTGGCTTGAACAACTCTGTGAGAATTGACAAGGTGGGTCACACACCTTAGAAGACAGCTGAAGTTACCACATCATTACCTGGTGTTTCTAGCAAAAGATTTTACCACTACTGACCAACATCAGCCTGAACTGTTTACCTACCACAATGTTAGTGAACCTTATAGATTAAAGGGAATACCCCTTTTCTGCCATTGTAGAAATTGGCACTATAACAGTGGGCAGATTATTGTTTTATAGAACAGCAGATTAGTGCCAGCAGGATTTCTAAAGCAGAAATCGACTTGGACTGAGGAGTGAAGCTGATCAATCATTCTCTGTGACTGATGATAAGTATGAAATACCAGAAGGTACAGCAAATCAGTCACTTCATGCCAACAGCTTATTATTACCTTAATACATCATCAGTGCAGTGATGAACTTGATCAGTGACTTCAAGTCAGGCCTGTAGTCATTCCTTTGTGTCCCATTATACAATCAGTCTTTTTTTTTTTTTGTTTCAGTTCATAGAGATTTCTAATGCTGTTTAAAACTGATTATATCATGCACTGTTATATAGAACTACTTTTGTTGGTGTCTGTTATTTTCCAGTTCCCTATAGTTAAGTCTCTGTGTGTATAGTTACTAGATCAGATTCCTGTTGATACTGTGTTTGTTTGACTGTGATAGTGATACTATCCAGTCTGGGGGCTATTAACCAATTTGTGCCCAAGAGTATCTTTTGAAATTCTGTGGTGCCAAATGCTTGAGTTGCCTCATCCCTGCATGGTTGTTGGAGCTGCGGAGTACTGCCTAGACCAATATGAGCCACCATCATAACAATATATCACTTTACAGTGTGTTTTATTACTAGGGGAAACCCCAGTTTAGACATGTGATGAAATAATCTTAAGACAAGATATGTAAAAAAATATGTAAATGGAGTGAATTAAATACAGAAGTAAATATTAGTAATATTTTGAAGTATATTACATGAATTGAGTGATGAAAATCAATTTAAAAATGAAATGTACACGTTTAATAAGGTCTGCAAAAGTATTCAAACAAAATAACCATCTACATAAGAGTGAACAATTAAATAAGAATGGAAAATACAAAAATATATATTCCATGTTAACTCTTTGAGTCCCAAGGAACGCATCATACGTTCAAAGGTTCCTACCTAGAAGCCCAATGAACGCAAGATGCGCTGATTTTATTACTTTCTTTACTACCCCTGGGCCTGTGATGCTAAACCACCTGGGACTCAAGGAGTTAAGCCATGCAAAATAATTAGGCAAACCTTTTTCAAGTTGCAGATACGTATGCCAGCTTCTTTGTCTGTTGGTTCCTTCTCAAAATATTTGCTTAGTTTGTTTCTGTTCTCATACTCATCATTTGAGCTTGTGGAGCTGCTACACCAGTATGACTTCTGTTTGATAAAATATATGCAACATAAGTATTAGGTGTATAATTAACTCTTTAATTAATATCATGAATATTAGCTGGGGAATTAACTGTTCTAATCATGTCTTGAATATAGCTGTAGAGTTAACACTTCTAATTATGTCATGGTGATAGCTGTAGAGTTAATTTCTTTAATCATGTCATAAACATTAGCTTCCTCAACTGCCTTCCCCTGCATTCTTAAAATATATGTTGTGGTATCGTATCACATGCTCTGTTGTTCTACGCAACTTCAAATCACTTTTGCATTGAACTCATTCATTTTTTTTAATGCCTCTTAACACATATTCGTCTGTATAGAGGACAAAACCATCTGGACAGGGTTTGCCATGAATTAATTGTTGAATTTTTTATTGTGTAGTGGCTTCTTTCTGGCCACTCATTGTACTCAATGTCGAATGTTATGTGAATTTTACATGTGTGATCTTTGCTCTGACACTTTGACTAACTCCTCCCTCTACAATGTTATGTTATCACAATCGACGTCACTGAACATTGGGCATTATCATACATGCACAGTCCTCCAATGCAGCAGCCAATCCAATGTAGTTCTACTAACTGTTCCCTTGAGGAGCTGGTTATAATGTCACCTATCTTTGCTTTAAAGGCAGCACTTACATGCTTTATCATAATTTACTACCATCTCACGCAATCATGTTAGTATAAGAGATTCATCATTATCAACTAACCTAGTCCGTACAGCATTGACAATATCGGTTCCATCCATGCATGTATCAGTTTGCTCACTCACTACCTTTCATGTCAGCATGCCTAGGTGTATAGATCCAAGTGAGTTAGGTCAAGTACAATTACCAAATCCTTTTTACTCATTCAGAGTGTATACTAATGTATACCAATGCCACATCTTGTCTATTAAGTATTCATTTTCTGTTTTCCCACATGTCTCTGAATTTCAACTGTTAAGACAGACAAGTGAATATTTCTTGGAGAAACTTCAATTAAGTGATTGTGTGTAGTCTTGTTTGTAATTTTAACATTGTCTGCTTATGTCATGTGCTGATGAAAGCTTTATAGTCACAAGTTAAATTTTCATTTCCAGTTGTGATAAAGTGAAGCTGACTAGTTTAATCTTTCATTTGGTTTGATTTATTCCCAACCCTAAACATATCTCTAATTGCATCTTCTGTTGACCACAAAAAAAAAAAAATACCAAAAGGACCTCAGTGCATTGAGGAATATAATAGCAAGGTCCCTGTGTGGGTTCAGGGGCCTTATTTTAGGGAAAAAAAGTATATACCTACTGCCTACCCAAAAGCATGTCGTGAGAGTCTACTAACTGGGAGCTTCCTTTGAAGTTCGAGTGCATCTGCCTGAGAGGCAAGGAACCAGCAGTCTGCATACAAATGAGTCAGATTTGTAAAACGGATGCACACGCAACACTCAGGTTTTGGAACAGGACTGCAGTCCAAATGTGAATGAGCAACCATAACTTTCAGCCAGGGTTTACAGCTGGTAAATGAGAAAAGAAGAAGAAGATAATAGCAAGGGACTTGGAGCAAAGAATTAACTCTTCTTTTTAACTTTCCTAATAAGATAATGAATATTAACTCTTTTAATCATATAATGAATATCATCCAGAGAATAATTTTATTCATATCATACATTTTATACAGAGAGTTAATTCTTCAAATCCTGTCAGGTAGGTAGGTAAGTACCCCACCAGGACATCACACAAGCGATAAACACCCGGTGACACAAAGTGCCACCATGCAGATGAGGATCACCCATGGAGAGGTCCAAGAAACCCCTTTCAGCCGTTAGGCTATATCTATGGCTAGGCCATATCTATGTCCCGGCTATATTCGGGGCCCCTGGCAGAAGCCAGGGTGGGGCTTCAAATAACAAAAAAAAATTGCATCCCACATGAGGATGACAGTATATATTCACAAATCCTGTCATAAATATTCGCCTGGTGTTGAACTCTATAAACCATGTAATGAATATTAGCCAGAGAATTAAATTTACTAACTATTTCATCCGTATCAACATTGACTTAGCTTTACTATTGCTACCATAATCATCATATATAGAATTAACTCTTTAAATCCTGTCATAAATATTGGCCAGAGCTTTAACCACCAAGTGAATATTACTCAAAAATTAAAAATTCACATTTTTTATCATATTCTGAGTATCAGTAAGATAATGAACTCTTCTAATCATAAAACCAATAATAGTCAGAGAGTAATTCTTTTATTCCTGCCATGAATATTAGAGAGATTACATATTAATCATGTCATGATAACAGATCAATGAAATATGACATTTATTCATATCATGAATACTAGACAGATAATTAATTCTTTTAATGTTTGTTTTCTTTTTCAGTGAAATATCACACATAATCATGTCATGAATACAGTCAAGTCTGAATAAATAGAAGCCACAGGAACCTAAGAAAAGGCTTCCAGTTATCAATACTTCTACTTATCCAAACAGCACACACAGCAGGGAATCTACACTCAAACCAAGAAGTATCACTGAGTAAAACTTTATCAGACAGATAATTTAACTCTTTTAATTTTGTGTGTGCATGCGTATTTTTCAGTAAAATAAGGTATTCAATCATGTCATGAATATTAGACAGATAATTAACTATGTTAATTTTGTTTCAATTTTTTCAGTGAAATAACGTATTCAATAAAATGCATATTAGACAGAAAATTCACTATGTAAATACTGTTTCAATTTTTTCAGTGAAATATCAGATCTAATCATCTCATGAATAATATTAGGTTGATAATTAACTCTTAAAAATTTTTTTGGTATGTTTGTTTGTTAGTGAAATATCCCATTTAATCCTGACACGAATAATATTAGACAGATACTTAACTCCTTTAAACTGTCTGTAATATTAACCAGATATTTAAATAACATCTAAAATATTGAACTGCATACCGTAAAGCAGAAGTAGAAAGGTTTTGGCACTCCAAATTCTCCAGGACTGATATTGTCGACATACCAGGCAATGAGGAAGTGTATTGCTGAGTCAACCAACAGCATTATCATACAGTCCAGCATGCTGATGTTATCATCTGGTGTTGCTGGCTTGTCAAAGTTGTTCCACCGAGCCCCTGCCCCTGTTAGTTAAAAAAAAAATAATTGTAAATAGTTATTTCTGCCCTGTGGTTTTTGGGGCTTGATTTTGGAGAACGAAGTATAGACCCACCCTTCCGACCTCAAAAAAGAATGTTGTAGGAGGGGACTAATTAGGGGTGTTTTCTTCAAAGTCAAGGTGCCTCTGCCTGAGAAGCATAGAACGGATAATCTGTATACAGAAAGGCCAGATCTATAAAACGGATGCACATGCAAAACTCAAGTTCTGGATCAAGATCTAAGAACATGAGTGGATGAACAACCAAAACTTTCTGCTGGAGTTTGCAGCCGGTGAACACTAAGAAGAAGAAGAAGAAATAGGTCGAGCAGCAATGCAAAAATAAACCAGGGTAAACTCAGTCACTAAGCAAACTCAGTGTGCTTATAGATGTAACCCTTAACCTGACACAATCATCATCATGTAGCAAGTCCTTTGAAGAACATCACTCTCATCCCAGCCTGTGTGAAAGAAACTCAGTCTCTTGCCAGTTCTTCCATCTATCGCACTTTCCTACTCAAGGTGCCACTTATATCCTGTGTCCATCTTCATGTTAGTCGGCTTGTGCCTATCATCGGGCTATTCAAACCCTGTCCCTCTCTGCTACTCTTTGTTTCTATCCATAGTGGCGCTTGATCTGGCCCATATATTTCTCTTTCTGAGACAAGATGCTATTTACTATCCAATATTCCTCTATGAACAGCTATTTGGGATGTCAGTATTTCTTTTCTTCTTGGTCCAGGACTGAAAGAGTTTTGAAGGGCTTTGAAACAGAAGATGATAGTTTTTTATCAAGAATTGTTACTGGAGATTTAATCATTTGTAGGTATTCGCCAGCTGACAACTCCATGAAAAATTCCAACTGTTAGTTTTTGTTGCATGTTAAAATGAAAAGTTCATCTTTAAACAGAATAAAGTAACAGTTTATTTATCTTTAAACTGTCATTATGGCATCACCGTGATCATACTGCATGCAATGTCACATGCTCAACACTCTTGACATCCTGAGGAAAAATCCTGACAGGTTACAAGACCGTGACATAGTTACTGTAATTACTATTATACTTTTAACATTATCATTTAAAGTCCCCTCATGTGTGTGTGTGTGTCTCTATGTTTGTAAGACTTGAGTGTGTGTGAGAGAGTGTGTGTGAGTGAGTGTGTGTGAGTGAGAATGGCTGTTTGTATGTATGTGTGAGCATGTGTATGTGTTTGTGAGTGTGTGTTTATGTGTGTGTGTGTGTGTGTGTGTGTGTGTGTGTGTGTGTGTAACATGTATGTAGTTGTACAGAACTGATACAAAGTAAAATATTTTTAGTGACAATTTGACTGAAATACATAACAAAACATTCTTGCAATGCAAACTTTGCTTATCTTGAAATGTGCATACTATACAATTTACATTGACATTTATAACACAATAACAATATTAACACATTATACTAGACTGGATGATAAAATTTGTTAAAAAATTAATCACTTTTCATTTTCTTTGCCTTCATTGGCTGTAAACTCCAATGGAAAGTTCCAGTTGTTAGTCCACTTCTAGATTTTGGTCTTGTTTCAGAGCTTGAGTTGTGCGTGCACATCCATTTTACAGATCTTGCTTATTTGTATACAGACTGCTGGTTGCTTGCCTCTCAGACAGATGCACTCCGACTTCAAAGTAAAGACACCTAATTAGTCGTCTTGTCCGCGGAACCTATACATATACTATGTTTCATAGTCATGTGTAAATAGTTGACGAGTAGTTAACAAAAGTTTACCTGTTCCTTCGTAGAGTCCGATACAGTTTGCTCCCAGGCTCATGGCGCAGTTGAAGAGAAGGCTTGCTCCTAACTTGGAATTTTTGCTCATTCCGTCATAATTATTGGTTATGAAGTAGTAAGGGAAATAAAACGCAAAAAAGACGATGCCACCAACGATAGCTCCAACGTTTGCTGAAAGTAGCAACAAGGTTTAAAAATCAGTAATTATTTATAAAAGATTATTTATCAGACTACATCGTAATGTTTAAGTATTTAGAACACTATGTACAGGTAACTGAGAAGTAAGTGGTGGTGATGATGGTGGGGGTAGTAGTGTCAAAAGTGCCCAGAGAACAGGGTTGCCAGATAAAAAACTTCATTTTATGCCAAACCATGACCTAAAATAAGCCCCCAAAAAATGCCAAATTAAGTGTACCATTGTACCCACTTCACATTAAAAGCTCTAGATTGAATTCTTCACTGTCATCCTCACTGGACCCAGTGGAACATACAACGTAAAACTTTTGAGATGTAAAATCCTTAAGCATTTTCTCAGATGGGATGAAGTCTTTGCAACTCATCTATAATGATGGCATATTTTTTGTTCCGAAAATCATCAATAATGTCATCCTTAAGTGCAGGTGATATAGTATTTTTTATTAGGCATGAACATTTCGTTATATGCAACTGTATGTGATCCAATGTACTCCCTGACCATGCGCTCTTGTGATTTCACTTAGATGATCAATGGTGCGTATTGACAACGACCGATCATGCCTACAGCAAGTTGCAACTCTGCTGCCTTCAACTTAATCATTACTTTGCCTAGAAGTCATTGTTGTAATAAGCTGTGACTGGCTTTTTGATGGAGTTGTTTTCCTGTGTTTTTAGGATTTTTCATGATTTGATATGCTACTAATTCTTGGTGCAACAGTGCACCGACACAGTTTGCAATATGCTACCTCTGATCCGTTTGAAGATCTTTTGACCCGTGGGTATGCTTTCTTCCAGTTACTATTATACTTGCAATGTTATAAGATGCTTTCCATTTTTTTGGATGATGTGGCCATTGATCAAAGTAATAAAATCTATCACAGACAGAACTAGGTTCATATCCTCTCTATTTTCTGTCCTCAAATAGTTTCTGAACAGTCTGAATCACTTGGTATCAGTGGTGGGCTTTGGTTTTATATCCCCCATTTATTTTTGTAGATTAACATAAATTACAGAGGGCCTTGGTTTGTCGAAATCACAATCTGTTTAGGAATGCAACAAATACAATAAGAAATAGCGCGAATCTACGTTAGTCCGTACCAGGACATCACAACAAAGTCAAACAGAAATAAAGATGTTAACTGTAGGTCTACGTTGCTTTTAGTAAATCTGCATGTTTCTAATGGGGGAACAATGAAGAAAATGTGAGCAGACATTGATAAAAAAAAAAAAAAAAGCCAGGAAGAACCCAAATATGCCAAAATATGCCAGTTCATAATCTAATACCAGTTAAATATGCCAAATTTGTGGAATCTGGCATCAAAAAATGCCAATATGGCAACCCTGCCAGAAAAGATAACGAACCAAAATGAAGGGGGAGGCAATTTGAGTGAGAAGAAAATAATAATAATAATAATAATAAGAAGAAGAAGAAGAAGAAGAAGAAAAAGAAAAATAAGAAGAAGAACATAATGATGATATTGATGACAAAAAAAAAAGAGGAAGAAGAAGAAAGAGAACATAATGATGATAGTGATGACAAAAAAAAAAGAAGAAGAGAAAGAAGAAGAAGAAGAAGAAGAAAAGAAGAAGAATAAAAAGATAATGATGATATTGATGACAAAAAACAAAGAAGAGGAAGAAGAAGAAGTATAATAATAATAATAATTAATAATATTATTTAATATTATTTCAGCTGCACATCTGATTACATCAAAGAAGTCTACCTTCCAACATCATACTTTAAAGACAGTGCCTTAAGTGTAACATAAATTTTTGACATCATGTCTCTAAATTGCAATCCCTTGAAATCCCTAATAAGAAGATTGATATTGATTAGTGTTTCAGATCTCCAGGCGATTAACTGCATTTGTGTTCCTGGCTCCGGATAGGATATTTAGTTTTGTATGGGCACTAGCATATGCCTAATGGTTACTGTTTTTAAAGCAAGTGTTAGCTCAAGGTATTTACAGCCTGACAGCATAGGGCTGCAATCTACAGCAGAGCAGACAGTATTTGATTTATCGGCTCTCCTTTGAATCATTCCCCAAAATGGCGGCATGCCACATTCTGGCCATAAAATATCCAAAAATATCCGAACGACGGTGTTCGCGTATATCTAAAATACGGACTTTCTGCCAAGGAAAAAATCGCGGCAAAACTAGGATTACTTGACAATCAGTATCAACATTTGCACACGGTACTCAAGAATCCAACAAGCCAACAATGTCGCATACCAGCTTGCCCCAATTTTAAAACACCCTGCTGTCCCAGCTGAGATAAAAGACAAATTATAAATACAATCTTTATACCGACATTAGGTTATCAATGTCAGACTTGGACATTAACAAAAGAACACGAGAGAAGACTAACCACCTGTGAAATGAGATGTTTGAGAATGGCTGCGAATAAAACCAGAAGAGATCGAGTGAGAAACGATGTGATTACAAGAACTATTGGAACCATACCCATCGTTAAATTTATTGAGAAGCAAAGAATGAAATGGTTTGGTCACCTAATGAGAATGGAACCAACGATGCCAGCATCAAGAGCATACAACATGAAAATCGAAACACCAAGAGGCAGGGGAAGACCAAGAAGAAGATGGATTGAAGGAGTCATGGACAACTTGAGACTTCATAACATCACGGCATATGAAGCGACTGAGCGCGCCCTGGCTCGGTTGCCGATCATCTGATAGACTGCGACGCCTAGCGGCACAAGCAGATTTTGACAAAAGAAAGAAGACTAGTAGCAGACGATAAATACCGACCGTTGACAACAATTTCGAGCGTTTCTGCAGACAATACTAGCAGACGATATTAGCGACCGTTGACCAATTTCGAGACATTACAGACGATGAAAGCCGATTAGCAATACTGTGTTTTTCCGATTGGAGGATTTAGCAGCGGTAGATGTCAGACTTGTCGGCATGCGCCAAACGCGATTAAACTCATCGCCGAGCGTATCCCGCGCGTAGCGGCGCGGATGGGAGGTAAACTAAGTGCCTGGGACTCACGAGTACAGTAATTGGAGGAAGTTGCAGGAGATGGGGTAGCTGCCGCTCGTGAGTCCCAGACATCTAGTTTAGCCCCCATCCGCGGCGCGCGTAGCGGCGTGGGAGATACACTCGGTGAGGCACACTCGCAGAAGCAGGTCGGCAAGCAACGTATCACCGAAACACTGTTAGGGCATTTGTTTCGTTATCCAGAGCCGGCGCATATATTTTAATAGAACTGACTCGTATTCGGATATTTTTGGATATTTTATGGGCAGAAATTGGCCAATTTAGCTCTATTTCGAACGCCATCATATTAAAGCCGCCATTTTGGAGAACGATTCAAAAGAGAGCCGATTTATCCGCTACAGATGCCCTAAATTTACCTTCGTAGGTGGCTGGATGGTGTATCTGGGATTTTCCCCAGGATGTTATCCATGATGCGACCTTAGGTGACATATATGTCAAACGTTTGGGGAAAAACATCGAGGAGAAAAACGGTCAGCTAGAAAATCTGCTGCTGTTTGTTCTGTTGTGTTTGAAAATTGCTACCATGATTGTTACAACATAAATTAGAGGTAATCAGGCAATCGCAGTTCTAACTTAATAGCAAACAGGTCACCTTATAGTTTCTGCGTTCCCGTGCCAACGAAAACCACACGGAATGCCCTCACTGTCCCTCGTGGGAGAAAATTTTTTGACACAGACCTCAGTCTCAGCAAAGGCAGTAGCATACACACGCATTAAATACATAAGGTAGCTACCAGAAGTGCTAACACACACAGACTGTCACCGGAAATTCAGTTCATCGTCGATGTAAGCATTAGTTAAAACAGATCAATAGTCGCACATGCAATTAATGGCAAAAGGAACAGATATAAAAAATAAATTACTGGCTGAAATTATAAACACAACATACCTTTCTGGACAAATGAACTGATCATAAAACAAAAGGTGATGATTGACAGCGAGTAGCACAGCAGAAAGACAAAGAAGAGGCTGGGATCTGTGTGGTTCAAAACGGCACCGGCGGAAACAATCTTGACGCCAAACAGGATTGCATAGATAGCCATTGCTGGCACCAGATAGACGCCGAGTGTCAGAAGCCAGGAGATCCAGTGGGCCGCTGACGTGAGACCCATCAACTTCATTGACTCCTGTGGATGGAATTCACACATTTACTGACCTTTCTGGGATATTTGTATGTATGGGTATTTATGTATGTGATAAGTATGTGAAAATTTGCTCATACTTAATACCCTGCCCTGAAATCTGAGGCATTTTGACCACGTTAAACGTTATACAAAACACTAAGGATGCATTGGCTATAAAAGCACATAGGGCTGGAGAGAATTGGCTAGAAAAGAGAGAATTCCCTTGCCGAGATCGATGTTCTTTAAAGGACGTGCTGATTAATGACGATAATAACGATGATGATTAGAAGGTTCTGAGGTTTAGGAATAATGTAATTCTCTGTCCCCAGCATCTTTTCTCCTTTTTTTGTTTGTCTTTCACTTCATCTACATCATCTTCATCAATTTCCTTTCTATCTCCTTTCCAATACTGTCATACTGGAATTGATTTAAATGCATACATTATTTGGCTATCTTCCGAATATCGGTCCCAAATTATCGAGGCCGAAAATATACCCTAACAGGGCCTCTGTCACGAGTCAATTGCGCACTTCTGGGGACTAAACCACCACCGCCGAGAGTATCCCCCAAGCCACGTGCTAAACTAGATGGATGGGACTCATGAGCAAATAAAATGAAGGAAGCTGCAGAAGATGCGGTAGCTGCTGCTTGTGAGTCCCAGCCATCTAGTTTAGCCCCGGTCCACGCCGCGTGAGCCGGAAGTGCGCAATTGACACGTGACTGGGGCCCTGTTAGGGTATAATTTTAGCCTCGATAATTTTGGACCGGAGGATAGCCCATTATTTACATCAGGCCCCTTTGCGTTGGTTTCAACAGAGGTATAAGCATCGAACCGTTCCGGAAAATAATAGCAAACTACAGATTTTAAAATTGCATAGTAAAACAAAATTGCATAGTAAAAGAACAACAACAACCCCCCTCACAACACCCCCGCCCCCTTTTTTTAACCCGAAAAAGGTAACCAAATTTAAAAACAAAAATGAAGGAAAAATAAAATAAAGAAAAAGATAACTGTTAAGATGCTGTCCATAAAATCCTGTAAAGGATAGGCAAATAAATGTATAAATATGATTAGTTTACTTATGGGTTGTTTGTGCATTTTGTTTTGCAGCCTGAAAACATATTTGTTATCATAGAAAAGACACTAGCACGGACACAGATAAATAATTTATTTTCTGATGCAACATTCAATCAACATGCTGTGCTAACATGTTATGAGAACACTGTGATACGGGACCAAAGGATGATAGAAGAAAAGATGGTTGGGCAAAGTCAAGCAGACATTAATCAGGTTACATTTTTAGCAGTACCAGTCAATGACCCCTCTCGCTCCAGAGGCGTGCCATTCATATGGTGCCCAACTCATATTTTCACCTACATATGTGACGCACGAGCAGTAAGACATAAAAAAAGAAGGGTGGGGGGTTTTGGGGGACAGAGACAATTAGATATGTATGTAATACTAAACATGATTTATAAAGTCATCTCATTACCTACAAACATGACTCTATGCTCAGAGACAGTCAGAGAGGCAGACACACACACACACATACACACACGCTGACACACACACACACACACACAGGCAGACACACACACAGAGTTGAGCTGAGTTGAGTCAAGAATTGACATAACAACATTAGGGGCATTCTCATACGCGCTCCTTCCCATCTTCAGCAGCCAGCGCAGAGTTGCCAATACAAATGGTGCTGGTCGTAGTCTGGTTGTATGTCCGTCTTGTCTTTCCTCTGAGCGTAGTGTGCCAGGACGAACCCTCTTGTCACACCCAGGTGCATCATTCTCCAGCCCTGAATAATCTAGTTTCTCTTCTAACTTCGTTACTTGTCCCAAAAGGTGTCTGAACACACAAACACACATATGCAGACTCATACAAAAACACACATATGAAGAAGAAGAAGAAGAAGAGTACAGCACACACACATGATGCACAATGTTTACCTTGAGCTTTCTTTCTTTCTCATAGACTAAGTTTTTAATGCCTATAATGACACTCAAGATAAAGCTAAGTATAAGGAACAGAGGCAACACATTCTGAAGTATGAGGATCATCCCGTCATTGTAGTAGGGCGGGTAGGCCATCCGCTGCATATAGGCTCCGAATAGTACCGAATCTGGATCTTTGTTTTCTTTAGACAGCCAATGTTTGGTTAAAGCTTGACCGATCAAATTCTGTAAAATCAACACGCTATTTTCTTTGTACCCTGTTGAACCAGAAGACAAAATATTTTATAAATACTTAAATTACCTTAAACCACACAGTTATTACTAGTAAACCAAGTTAACGTTATGCAGTATATTTGATATTTAGGAGTCACCAAGCAAAAATCAATTTGAAATAAATGACAAGAATAACCTTCAGAGCTCGTAACATCAACAATACAAGACATTGAGATCTTACTGCATTGACTCTAGGCAATAATGAATTAGATCTACTGCATTTAGTGGCTACAATTGTTGTAACAATGTTACATTCACGAAAAATTGTTAAAGGGTGCATATATCAAACTCTGTTTATTAAAACAATCACACCATTTGACAGAAGCTGTCTTGTATAGATTAGAATAAGAATCTCCACAAACATGCTGCCCTTGAAGAGATGAAAACATACACACCAGCTTAAAATCCCAGTGAGAAAAAACAAAGTTACATTTAATGATATAACATATGCTAATGCAGCGGTTCTCACCCTGTGGGTAGCGACCCTTTTTGAGTCAACAACATGCGACAGTCCCTGACTGACAGAGAATTTGAATGGAACAAAGCCAAAAAACTGTTGATAGAAAAGTCTCGGCGATCTCTCTGGCAAACCATTACACCCTAAGGTAGGTGAGGTTCTACTAAGTAAGTAAGTAAGGCACGCTGAGAAACATCTATTGGCATCATAAATATGTTCTCTTTGGAAACAAAGGGATGGTAGTAGTAGTAGTAGGAATGATGTTTGTGCCAGGAATGATATTAGTATTAGAAAGGATATTTGTAGTAGAAATGATATTAATAGTAGGAATGATATTTGTATAGGAACTATGTTAGAAGTAGGGTTGATTAAGTAGTAAAAAGAATATCTGTAGAAGGAATTTTCTTCTTCTTCTTCTTCTTCTTCTTCTTCTTCTGCTTCTTCTTTTTCTACGTGCTCACCGGCTTTAAACTCCGGCAGAAAGTTCTAGTTGTTCGTCGATCTCCTAACTTTAATTTTTTCGAGAAGCTAAATATGGCTTGCCCATCTGTTTTACACATCTGTCTTATTTGTACGCAGACTGTTGGTTACTTGCCTCTCAGGCAGATGCACTCCCACTTCGAAGGAAGCGTCCATTTAGTCAACTCTTAAGACATGCTTTTTGGGAGGCAGTAGGACTATTCTTGTTTTCCACACAATGGGGCGCTGGCACCCACACGGGGAGTAGATGGAATTATAATGGTAGTAGGGATGATATTAATAAGGATGATATTAGTAGTGATGATATTAGTAGTAGTAATGGTTTAAATAGTAACATTGGTAGTATGGACGATATTAGCAGTAGGAAAATGGTTTTATTATTAGGTGTGATATTAGTAGTATGGATGATATTACTTGTAGGAATGATATAAGCAGTGGGAATTGTGTTAGTAGCAGGGATAATCAATTGTAGGAATGATAGTAGTAGCAGAAATTATATTAGTAGTAGTAAAATGATATTAATAGTAGAATTATGTTTGTTTGTACCCGTAGCAGAATATTAGTTATAAAGATGATATTTGTAAAAGGTAATACATTGCTACATAAAATATTACAAACACATACTTACACGTCACATTGCTAGCTGGACCTCCAGTTTGGTATCTGGGGTAGGTGGAGTCAGTTTTAAAATTAGAGCTGCCCAAGTTTGGCCGGATGATGAAATTAACGGCAGGAGGCAGTGCTTGAGTTTCGTTGAAGTCGAAGACAATCACATGCTTCATTTTGTCTGAGTGGAACACGTACTCGGCAACTGCCTCGTCTTCTGAAGCGAAGCCTTTGACTGAAACTGAACAATGATATCGGTAGTTAACTCATACCATGAATTTTGTCCTGGCTAGAAGTTTATATTTAAAAAAAGATGAGGGGGGGGGGTGGTGGGGGGGGGGGGGGGGAGGGCGCATCCTGCACAGGACGTTGCAGAACCAACCACGGCATTTCTAGGGAAATTTACGTTCAGTAGTTTGCCACTGCCCCTAAAGGGTAGTCTTACGTTACCACTGTCGAAACAAATGCAAAAGGGTTAGTAAAAAGACCTTTTTCAGGCCTTTAGGCGCATCGGGCATATGGGAAGAGCACCCATATTTTTACAGACCGATCGGCACTAGGTGGGTAATGTGGTCAGCATTACGCAGGCCATCTTTACTTCCTCAGGATCTAAATCCTGGTACCCATTTTAGGCTGGGTCGACCTGCGACGCCCCATACCCTGATAAAAATCTACGCAGCCAGCAGTGGGTTTGAATCGTGGTACGTTGGAATCACGAGTCGGACGCAAGACGGTATACCGCCCAATCTGCTGAAGGTGGAATCGAACCAGGCACCTCGGCATTACGAAGCACGTTCGCGAGGCCTAAGCTACAAATTTTGAGTTGGAAGTTTAATACCTTACACAATAATTGTTTTACAGTAAATATTTCAATATTAGGTAAGTAAAGGATCCTCGTCAAACCATTGGCGCATAAGGCAAAGAGTGATGGTCCTTATATGTGTATAACCCAAGGGGCACAAGAAGTGACATATCGTCGCCTTTACTTCCAAGGCCATTGCCTAGAACCCATTTTTTTTAGGTAGGGCTGGCCTGGGAGCATATGTAAATTTTGAAAAAAATCCGACTCGATACGGATTTGAACCCGCACATGCGTCCTGGAAGGCGAGCGTCTAACCACTACGTCACAGTGTTTCGACTTCAAAAGTACTCATCCGAAAATTTACGTGTCGAAACGTGATGGATACACGGAACATAGAAAGATATTAGTAATAGAGATGATATTATTAGTTTCTGGGTGTGTGTGTTTCATTTTAGTTTTTAGGTTTGGGGCTGCGTGGTCTCGAGGCATGGCGTCCGCCTAAAGCGCTGGAGGTCCCTGGTTTAAGCCCAGGTGAAGGTTGATTTTTTTTAACGTGGACTTCTAGTAATTTATCCGGGTCTCTGGGTAGTAAGATCGGACGCCTGTGTGTATTGTAACGCACGTAAAAAATGCATTGGCAGTTGGAAATCGAAAAGAGTAGCCTAACGGCGCTGCACGGGCAAAATTTTGAGTTAAAAATATACCCAAAGTATTTCAGGATCCTCACCGGTGCAACGGAGTTTGTGCACTGCGCTGAGATTGTTAGGACTTAGACTTGAGTTAGAAGTAGAAGAGAGCACTTATGGGTTACTACCCGTGTGCCATGATGTTAATCCGTTCGTTAAACCTAAACCTAATATTATTAGTAGAGAGGATGTCAGCAGTTGGAGTGACATTGATATTATGGATTATATTTATTGTTGTGTTCGACATTTCCCCACAAAAACTTGCTGTCATAGACAGGAAACTTTGCTAACCGTCATCCCATAGTGATGATAAACATGGAATTGTATTTTAATGTTGAATTAAGAATCGACCACATAGCATTGGGGACACTCATTAGTGCTTCGTCCCTATCTTCAGCAGCAAGTGAGTAGTTCCAATTTCGATAGTACCAGCAACTGTCTGATTGTATATCTGTCTCACCTTTCCCCTGAGTGTCGAGCGTCGGTCAGACCCCCTGGTAACTCCTCGCAGTGCCATTTTCGTCAGATCGTAATGATCTATCTGCGCCTCCGCACTGTTCACTTGCTCCCAAAGAGCCTTTAACATATATAGTCATACATCAGTTCCCCACCAAGTGGTGCAGAACCGGCCAGTCTATCTTCCTGTTCATTTCCCAACACATCGGCGTTACCTGGAGTAAATATCCAAAGGATGCTGTCTACCTTGGACCTCTGAACTGATGCTTGCCACTCTGCACGGAGCATGCCAATCTCCAAATTTCTCAACATGCTCTGTGAGAAAATGACCATTACGGCATGTGTGTGTGTGTGTGTGTGTGTGTGTGTGTGTGTGTGTGTATACAGCTGATTCTCAAGCAAGCAGAAGGCAGCACTGACTGCCTCCCACACCATTCTTAAACTAGTCTCTTATATGCGAGGTTTTGCTGCACTAAGCGAGGTCCATTCGCTTTTGCTATTAACCCCTATGCACTTCGTCTGCCCTCAACACAAAGCCATCTAAATAAATAATCACATCACCTGGGCGGGAATTGTCATAAATCATTTGTTGAACTTCTGATTCTGCAGCACCAGCTGGCCAGTCCCTGCACTCGCGATCTAAAGTGATAAAAACCCTACACAAATCTGAAACTTGCTCGGACACTTCGTCCCACTCCTCTCCTCACCCAAATTTATCAAGCCTGCACGCATGTATAACTGTCTTCAGCTTGCGCCATCCAAACCTTCATCTTTTCAGTCTGTGACCCTTAGCTCTACACAGAGCTTCATGCAAGAGGTGCTTCTTGTCCGCAGCTACTCTGTGATATGACTTTGCCCGCAGAAGTTTGAGCCTATCTGCAATAGTAGGAAGGACAAGTACCTATCGCATACAATACTACCGGGGTATCTCTTGTACATCCCAGAATTACCTGCATGGCTTCATTCTGTAAGCGTTCATGTTTCATCAGCTGACTCTTTGAATGCTGGAACATTGTGAACATCATTCGCTGTTCAATGTCCATTTCTGCTACAAACTTGAGAGCATTTAGTCCTTTTTGGAATTTCACCACAACTTCCTCTACATGATGCCTACATGACAGGCTTCTATAGAAAATGATACCCATTTACCTCAGTATGCTTTCTCTTCTGATGTTACTGTTAATAATTGTAAGGCTTGGAACATTAGATCTTACAATTCTTTTGTACAGAGAGCACCACACAACAGCAAACCTGTTCTGAGTTGATAACACCCGTTTCTGCACACCAATCAGTCACTTTGTTTACATGTGCTTGTAGCTCTTAGGACATTAGTTGCCAATCACTCCCCTGCCTATATGCAAGAACATTATCTGCACATGTCAATATCCTTCCAACACCTGGCGCTTCAAGTTCTGCAATCTTGCTTGTATACACATTGAAGAGCACTGGTGACATTGCAGGACCTTGAAGTAATTTCGGGTCGATATTGTAGGGTTTTGACGTTCTTTTACTCAGTCGAAGTGCAGCAAACGTGAGTGCAGGACAGCTGTTATCCAGTTTACACGACAGCAACATACTCCTGTCTCCATGAGCGCAGATATAAAAATATCATATCTGACTCAATCGTAGGCATCCTCAAGATTGTATTTAACATTTCACACTAATTGTACAGCTATTTTTATGTGTGTGGAAAGTAAAATGATTTGTTTCTATCTTCTAGATTTCCTACTGTCGCGATAGGGAGACAATGCATTCCTTTTATACAAAAAGTAATAGATTTCGTTTCTTGTTCATTTAATGTTGTAAAAACGAGTGATTAAAAAAAAAAAAGAATTTAAAATCAGCTATTAGTGTATGGTAATAAAATTTGTATACTACACCATGTTTCAAGCACCATGTAGCCATGAATATCACTGATATACACTGGTGTTCTAGCAAACTGATCTTAGCCATAATGTTGTTAGTTAGTGAAGAAAGAGTATTTTTTGGTTGGGCATATGTTCCGTAACGGTGGCAAATATTCGAATGTGGTTGTTTAACAATTTAAAATGTCATTTTCTGATAGTCAAGTCCCTCATCCTAATAATATTACTAATTTAGCCGGTAGAATCAATTATGAATAGAACTGTAATGTAGAAAACAGTTTTTAAAATAGTACACACACCATAGTAGTATATGCTGCATTAACTCCACAGACAGTGATTAAAAAAAAAATTGGATTATTTTCAAAATATAGAGTTATTAAAAATACACCCTGGGAATACTGACAGCGAGTATTACTTTTTTTCCGTTTAATTATCATGCACCCGGTAAACATGTCTTTTTCTTTATCTGCATATTGCAAAAGATGTTGCAAAAAAGAGGCCTACCCAGTCAGTTCATGTTATATTCTTCAATGAAATATTTTTAGCCAACCCAGGTGAGAATCCTTCAAAGTCTCAACATCTAATGCATTTTTGGGGGGGGGGGGGGTGGGGGGGGGGGGGGGGTGGGGGGACAAGACAAGAGATCATCCTGTAGCGCTTGCAACACTGTCTATCAATATCCGTCTACATGATCAAGTATTAACTATTAGTCGTATAGTTACTTCTGGTGTATTCAGTACAGGAAAGGCATTCTTAAGAAATTTTCAAACGTCCCTGGGAAAACTGTTGCATCCAGTTGCGTGTGGCGCTTCACCACAAAGACTTGCTGCCATAGAGAGGAAACCTTTTTTTTTTTAAAACCAATATGCCATAGTGTCACATAGGGCTCGCAGTTTATTCTTCCATTCCATTTAGTTCTATGCAAACTTTTCAGCATATTGGATAAGATGTAGTCCAACATCCATCTGTGTAGGTCTTGTGGTTCCCCTAGGATGTCCTTGTTTCTTTAATCATTTAATGTTATAGTTGTGAAGTAGTTCTGTCCTGGTGCGGAGTGTAGCATTTTATTATACAGCTACCTAAAGGCAGACAGCCCTTAGGATCCCTTAGACCTCCCAACAGCACACTGTAGTATGAGCACATACCCATGTGAGAAATGTCACCTAGTATACACACAGAGGTCGACAGGTACATATTTACACCAACAGAAACCATTTCTCAAAGGAATCGTTCCAGTGTGCCACTTATTGATTTACACCGTTATCCGTCATTTAAGTTTCCACAAGGGAAAGTTTTTGTCATAAACTGAAGCCTGCTGTTTTAGTTAATCACATTCGACTAAGAACTAAAGTTATGGCACGATTTAATCACTTCTGGCAGATAAAACCTCAAGAGATAAACCGAGCGTATCGTAGCTACTAGTATAAACACATATTTAAACCACAACAACCAAAAAATGCTTGGCTTTGTTCTGCAACATCCTGTAAATGATACGCAACTAACTAACGTTAGTTTTAGGTGTTTTTTCGGAGACGTCCTCGCCTACTTAATCGCTCACACGCCCCCACTCCCTTTTTTTCTATTACCTGCTTGGTTTCTCAACTCGTTTCTTCTGCCCAGATAGCGGCCATCTTTTATAGCTTATAAACTTTGATGCTTGAGGTTGCCCAGACATTTCTCTAATTTCGTCACCTCTTCTTGGATTGAACCCATTTTATGTTCCTGAATATTCTCAGGCACTTTCAAATGTTTTAAACTTACGTCAAATCTTTAAAATATTTATTACTTGAAGTATAACTGTCCATAAATTTGCAACATTTTTTCTACCTAGTACAAAAGAGTTAATTTTTTCTTAAAATTTGACAAAAAGCAGTTGTAGAAAACCAAACTAACACATGACACATAAATACTCACCATTGCCTTTCTTAGTGTCAAAGTTCATTATCATATCTCTGACAGTTTCCATCAACGCATTTGTCTCTGATGTGTTGGGGGCAAACCCAATTATTCCATTTACTTTCAAGCTTGAGAAGTTAGCAATGCTTTCTCGTTCATAAGTTGTAACCTTGCGAACCTCATCAGCTTTCACCAGTAAGCGTATGACGATAAAAATGATGGCAAAAAGAATCGGGAGTATAACCTCAAAGACGGTTACACAAATTCTCCGCTTCTGCAAAAGCCAGTTCTTCCACATGAGAAGTCCGATCTGACTGAAGAGTTTCATGTTGACGATTAGGTCGTGTCTCAACTGTTACAATTCTTTTACTAGAGTCTGCAGAATGGTGCTGTAATGGTACTTATAGTAAATAGTGTGGTTTTATATTCCAGTCAGCATCTTTATACAGTCTCCTACGTGGCAGCGTGTTATTATATGCTGAGGTGAGTCTTCCTAGTTGTTGTTGTGTTCTCCAATCCAGCGCCCAATTCGGAACCTGTGAAATGAAAAAAGAATTGTTTGTGAAAATGTGTGCTTTGCAACTGAAGATATGATTGAGTCACTTACCCACTTTGTATACATGCTAATGTAAAGTTCCTTTCGTTCAATACTATGCATAATGTTTAATTAATGTTTGATATTTAATTACGAATCGACATCACAGCACTCGGGACATTCCCATAAACACTAAATCCCCTTCTTCAGCAGCAAGCGCAGAGTTCCATTTCTGATAGCATCAGTTACTGACTGTACATCCGTCTTTCAGTTAAGTGTTTACCGCTGACCAGAACCCCTGGTCACTCCTGGAAGCACTAAATATAATGATAGCTTAGGTTAACTGGCCAAGCGGCAGGGCTGGTGACTAGAACGATGGGTTCACATGCGAGAGACACGGGTTCAAATCCCGGATAAGGTGAATTAGGTTTTGCTCAGTCGGTGTCGAAAATAAACAGCGAAACATGCACAGTTTGTGGCGAGTGCATTAGCCATGATATTACGAATGTTTATGGTACAAAACAGTGTAACAATATTCACTAGCTTTAGTAATAAACGATGTCAACACCAGACATATTTGCCTAATACTGTGAGCTAATTCTGTTAAAATCGATACCTTAACTAAAAATTAACCGCTCTTTCCACTCAATTACAGTTTGCTTGCACTTAACTAATTACAAATAGTGTGCACCAGAATGGTTGATATGGGGGGAAAGGGAGTTGAATGAGAAGCGGTTTTTTTCTTACTCTTAGTTTTCAGAGATACACATTTTACCAACTGGTTTATCCTCTCTCCATAATATTAGGTAGGGACAATATCGTGTTTTTTAAAATTTTTTTTTAGTATAATGTAAAGTTATTTGTGTGTATGTTTAACAATTGAACAGCCTTTTTTAAGCGCCAGCATGGAGATCAAAGTTAGAATTTTGAGAGCACGCATCTTCCCTGTGGCTACATACGGATGTGAGTCGTGAACAGTCCTTAATTAAGAAAGAGAATAGGGGCTTTTGAGCTGATATGATATAGAAAGATTTTCAGAATATCTTGGACAAAGAAGAGGGGAAATGCTGACATCTTGAAAGATCTGCACATCAAGGAAGATTGGCTAATAAACAGTATCCTGAAGCTGAAATATTTTAGTCATATCAAGCGCCATGACGGATTGGAAAAAATTATAGCAGAAGGCATGGTACCAGGATGGAGGGGCAGGGGACGACCGACAAAAAGATAGGCACATAATATAAGTGACTCTTTAAGTATGAAAGTACATGAGGCTGGAGAACTTGCGATAGACCGAGTTTCTTCAGGCAGACTGTGATGAGAGCGACGTTCTGCAAAGTACCTGCTACATGATGATGATGATATTTAACAAACAGACGTGTATTGATCGGTACTCATACAAAGAAGTAGCAAAATAGAAGGAAAGTTTTTTTCTGTGTATTCCCTTTGTTACTCTTGCCGTAAAACAAATTTATTGTTGCTTATGCACCAATGTTTCCTCAAATCAATGTTTCCAATTGTTTGTTTAATGACCACGTTTATGTACTATGTAGAAGGATCGAGCATACATAAAAAGGGTAAAGTATCCTTTTCCACTCCTTTGGGTGAATTGGGCAAATGGGATAGACCTATATTTTAAAGACCGATCGGCACTCCCTGGGTGATGTGATTAACATCACCCCGACAGCCTTTACTTCCATGTCTTTACGGGTACTTCTTCTTCTTCTTCTTTCGCTCGCCTGAAATAAGTTGTCTATATCAGCAATTTTGTCTCTTGCATAAATTTCACTGTCGTTGTTAGTTCATTCCGTGGTCCATAGAATTTAGTTCCACAGTTGTTCTTTCCTTCCAAACGTTTTTGCCTTAATGTGTCAAATTGGGTGCAGTCCTGGAGTACATGCTCTGCTGTCTGGGGCACCTTTCTACAGGTGCACATGGCTGATACGCCTATCTTGAATTTTACGGGTACTTATGTAATAAGGCTCGATCGGCCTGAGAACCAAAGTCATTTTTTGAGCGAAAAAAAGGTACGGCTCGGTCAGGACTTGAACCCACAACTTTCGGCTCCACAGGCATGCATCTAGCCAGTACACCACGGCTGCTTCATCAGTACACATAACATCAACTCATTATTATTGATCACGTGTTGTGTATCTCTCTAGACATTTATTGCAATAACTGTTTTCTCGTGTTGTTGAGAACGAAACACATGAAATTAAATCGGAAAGAATGTTGAATGTCGAATCAAAAATCAACATTACAACCTTCGGGTCACCTCCATTGGCGAACCGTCCTCGTCTTCAGCAGCAAGCGAAGAGTTCCAATTCTGCTGATACCAGTAACTATCTGATTCTACATCCGTCTCGTTTTTTTCCCTTGATTGTTGAGCGTCGGCCAGATCTCCTGGCAACTACCAGCAACGCCATTCTTCTCAGTTCGTAATGATCTGTTTGTGTCTGCATTGTTCTCTGGCTTCCAGAGGGCCCTCACAACATCTAGCTTGTCATAAATCAGTTTACAACCAAGTAGTGTAGAAATGACCAGTCTATCTGCCTCTTCATTTCCCAACCCACCGGAAAACCTGGAAAAAATATCCAAAGGACGCTAACTGCCGGGACCTCTGAATTAAAACTTGCCACTTTGCATGGAGTATGCCTGTCTCCAAGTTTCTCAACATGCTCTGTGAGTCAGTTACAATGACGGCATGTTAAGAAAGAGTATAAAACAGAGTAGCAGGAAAAAAAAAGGTGATAAGAAACAATGTTGTTTCATAAAAATATGAGAAAGCAAATAAACGTTCAGTGAAACATCGTGCCAGTTGTTATAGATATTTGCGTGAGTACGTGTCGTGTGACAGACGCAGTAGCGGCATAAGAATGAAAGGAGACACGAGAAAAATGTCAGTATACTCAAATATCGATAAATCGTGGCCTGACGTTATCGACGTCCTGAGATGCGTGATATTGCGCTATGTTTGAATGTAATGTCAGAGTTTCATGATATCGTACAGTAGATTATGATAATGTTTAGTCTATTACTGGAAATTTACAGCGAATGTGTGCAGTCATGTCTGAGACACGATTATCTGGTCATACATTGCAAGGCTGATCAAGTCGATAACGAACAAGTTCAAGCTGACGTTCTAATTGTCAAAGTCTAATGATTAAATGTGACTTAGTAAATGGGTTTTACGTAACTGCTAAATAACTTATACCAAGGTATAACAAAAAGACTGAATATCCATTCATTGGAGGGGAAAAAAAGGGGGGGGGGAGATTTGGTTGACTAGCATTATTACTTGTAATAGTAGCAGAAACACAAACACTGTGGAAGGAGGAGTCACAACGCTAAATGCATCAGGATGTGTAGTAGTGGTTTTAGTCACATTGGTGGTGGTACTAGTACTAGCAGCAGTAGATGTAAAAGCCATAGTAGTAGACGTAGAAGTAGTAGTGATGGTGATAGTAGACTGTAGAGTATTATCTCTAGTATAAGCAGTAGTAGTAGCAGCAGCAACAACCAGCTGTAGTAGTGAAAAGGCCAGAAGTGGTTAGTCTGTTGATGTCGCAGTAATAGTAGCAATATTAGCAGTAGTAATAATTGTATGAGTAGTAGTTATGATAATAATAGTAGCAGCATCAACATAGCGGCAGTAGTGTCACTACTCATGCTGCTACTATTGTTAAACGATTACTACTTTTAATATTACTAAGAAACAGCTGTAGGCGTCTTCGTAGTAGTAAAGGATTTGGAAGTAGTAGTAGTAGAGGTACTGGTGGCATGTGTCGTAGTATTAAGAAAGAAACGCATAATTCAACTGCTCGTCAAATACATTGTAAGAAATGAACCTAGCATACACACACAAAAACTCACATATGAAACAGTCTTGTCACATGCCAAAGATATCATAATTGTCATGATAAATTTGTCATAATCAACCTTAATAATCACTGTAATATGAGATATAAGGAATTTAAAAGAAGCGTTTACTAAAAGAACAACAATACGGACATTTAGTAACGCAGATGAGACGTAGAGTAGGAGAAAATTAAATAGACACAAACAAAAAATAATGCCATTATTAAATGAAACAACAGAGAAAGTTTATTAATTATCAAACAAAATACATCAGAATACATAATAATAACAAGAGATGGACAGAACACACATTTCGGTAACATACAAGTATATAATACTGAAGTTAAAAGAACTAAATCGTACAAACACTTGAGGACGCTTCTGGGACGTAAAGGCGACCGGCATGATGCTGACCACATCATCCACCATGTGCCAATTGGTCTATGAAATACAGTTCTATCCTTATACGCGCCTGAAGACGTAGAAAAGGGTTCTTTATTTTACTTGGGTACGCTTCAACTGCCCTAACATGCTAGGAGAATAACTACAATCTTATCTTGAAATAAGGTAAACTTTGCCCTACAACATCTGCTAAAATCAAATGCCCTATCTCGCAACACTATGATCATTATTTATAAAAAGCTGATAAGAGCAAAGGTTTAAACAGCTCTGACACCTGAAGTAAAATGAAAAAGAGTTAGGGTTGTTACAATCTTTTGAGAACAGTCTTACAATCATAAGGTATCCTATTTTTGAAGAAAACAGAATAGGCACACTGACCCTATCAAGCATGGCGTATAGGGCGATTAATTAGGGGTTTGCTGAAAGCAGATATATTGGGTCGAAAGTGCAGTTACACTCCCTGTCTGGTTTCAAGAGCCTCATTGTGGGAGAACAAAAAATATACCCATTACCACGTAACAAGCATGTCGTAG